ACTACTGCCAAACACTTTCTTATAGTATTATAATTGTTCAAGGTCTGTTTATGAGTGAGAACATATGGAACTCAGTTCTTTGTTTCTGTAATAAATCACTGAGTATGATCGACCCTAAATCCATTCAAGTTGCTGCAAAGTCCATTTATCTGTCCTTCTTTATGGCTGCATAATATTCCATTGTGTATATGTACCACATTTTTTTTAATCCAGTCCAGTTTCGATGGACAACACGGTTGGTTCCATGTTTTTGCTATTGTGAATAGAGCTGCTCTATTCACATAAGGCTCCACTTTCTACATCCGGATATACATGGGGCTTTGGGCTCTTGACAAAATGCAGCCTGAGAATCAGATATTGAGATCAATAGTAGTAACTCTTGATTCAAACGTCACGGGTCACAAGGGACTTGAACGTCTCCAATCACACGTGCTTCTCCTGCCGACCAGGTGAAGTCGGCACTGTTGTCTCTATTTTACTGATCAGGAAACTGATGCTCGGGGAAGTTCAGTGACTTGCCCTAGGTTCTATTATTGTTAGAGGTGTAACCAGAACCCACCATTTCTCTCTCTCCTCCCTTCTGATCACCACCCACCTCCCACACCCCAGTCTTCTTTGTTCCTCACCTACCATTTAACACCGGTCTCTCTGCTTCCCCTCCTACCTATCCACAGTGCACCAAACATCCGCAGCCAGAGGGGCTTGCAGTGAAGCAGATCATGTTTCCGCCAAACTCCTTGGGTAACTTGGCTCTGAAGATAAAATCTAGACCCAAGGGCCTGGCCCCAGCCCAGCAGATTCCCCCAGCAGCCTCATTGGGCAACGATGCATCCTTGGCCTCTCTCTCCATCTCACCCTCTCCTTCAGCCTCCTGTCTGGCCCTCCTGAGAGAGCTGGGAGTTGGGACCGTGGTTAGAAGCTTGGACCCCAGCATGACAGAGGCCTGGGTTCATGCCACCCTGTAGCTGCGTGACTTCGGGCAACGCCTGTTTCTTTATCTATAAAACAGAGACAGCAGCAGTACCTTTCTCAAGATGATTGCTTACTCCTGCAAAACACTGGAAACAGTCGCTAGCCTAATGCCTAGCGTAGTGATGTTGGTAGTGGTGCCATTGGGGCCAGCTCCAAGCAACTGCGCTCTTTATATGATCTCATTCTTTCAAGGATCTCAGTGCAAATTAAGCATTTCTAGAACATGCCTCAGCAAATCCCTTTTTACTTTTGGAATCAAGCAGCTGGAGGATTTGGTGTGAGGATTTGGTGGTTTTGCTTCTTCTTTACCTGTTGCAGGCAGAATGCATCAGAACCGGCCTGGGCACCCACGCCTGCGTGTGTCAGCAGGGATGGACAGGGAGTGGGAGAGACTGCGTCGAGATCAACAACTGCCTCCTGCCCAGTGCAGGTGGCTGCCACCCCAATGCAACCTGCTTATATGTGGGCCCCGGGCAGGTAGGTTGGACGTGGTTGAGAGCAGAGGCAAAGCGGGACTCCTGAGGTGCCCTGTTTTCCCCAGGACATGGAGATCCTTTGGCTAGAATTTACTGCAGCTTTTGTGTTCTTTGTAGCAGTGAGAGTGTGTTCATTGTCACAGGAAACCTACAACAAGGTATTACTCCATCCCGTCTCATAGAAGAGGAAATAGAGGCACCGGAAAACAAAATAATTTGCCCCCATCGCACAGAAAATAAATCAAGGGGCAGGATTTGCATCCGACAGTCTGACTCTAGGGCTGCCCTCTGGGTCCCTTCCCTGGCCCACACCTTAGATCTCTGCAGCTCTCTAGCTAACTGATCACTTTCACACACTCATTTAATGGAACCCAAGGCAGAGAAGGCCACTGCTTGGGAATTAATGGGCTCCAGGGGTGATGTGGCCAACTGCACTAGGACTTGGAAAAGAAGAGGTGACTGACAGGGGTCCCCTCCCGCTCCAGCTCCACCTGCCCCCGCCTCTCACCACAGGTAGGTCCAGCAGGTGTGTTCTACGAGGCTAAGGAGGGCAGAAGACATGGGAGATGGGAACCAGGCTTTGAAATCACCCCTTCCCCCCATCTTTTGAATCTTGATACAGCTTCTCACTTTTATGCTTTAGGATTGAATGCTTTTTAAGACCTGCTCTTTGAGAAATGGATTTGTTCCCCTGAGAAGGGCCCCGTTTATATGAAGCCTAACCTTGCTTACCTTGGATCCTGTGCCTTCTGGATCTCGGACGTCTCATCTCTGTGCACATATTAATACCCAGAGAAACACAGAGCTTGAATGGAACTTGTTGGCACACCAAAGCCCAAAACCCACCTCATGCCTTTCCTTTGGGGAGGAATCCACCCAGACAAATGGAGATCTGGCCTGTTTAATGATATTAAGAAGGAAGCCTCTAGGGCCTCCCTCCACAGCTTTGGTCAGCATTCCTATCCAGGAATGAGTGAGCGGGCGTCTGTCCTGGAGACCACGATGGAGCTGGGCACATGTGCAGATATAAATGGACAGTCCACCATTTATATTGGTCAGAAGTGTCAGAGCATCTCAGGGCCCACGGCTACCCAAGACAGTGATCTATATGGAAATCTTTCTGAGACCCCTCCGGGGAGCTAAAAGGTGGTAAACATGATTAGGAGAAAAGGTTAAAGGACATGGAACTGCTTGGCCAAGAGCATGGCATGATCCCACCCTAGCCCACCCCCCACCCAGCTCCTGAAAAACTGGTGGGACATTGAAGCACCAATCCAGGCAAAGCCAACTGGGAGTTAACTTTTAATAGACCATAATAGGTGCTTCTCAGGGATGGACTCCTGGCAACAGGGTGGGGGACAGATCCGCCTCAGGGAAAATTCTTAGGTCGTAACAGAAAGTCAAATGGTGCTGCTGCTATGGAAAGCAGTAAGGCAATTGCCCAAGAAAAGATAGAGTGCCCATATGATCTAGCAATTCTACTTCTGAGTGTAGACACGGAGAACCAACAACAGCAGGGACCCAAACAGTTACTTGTAGACCCATGTTCAGAGCAGCATTATTCACAGTAGCCAAAAGGTGGAAGCGACCCAGTGTCCATCAGCTGATGAATGGATCAACAAAACGTGGCACTTACATGTGATGGAACACTGATCAGTCATGGAAAGAGAGATCCTGACACATGCTACAACATGGATGAACTTGACGAGAATGTGTGGAGTAAGATAAGTCAGTCACAAAAGGACAAATATTGTGTGATTTCTCTGATCTGAGGTCCCTCGAGTCGTCAGATTCACAGAGACAAAAATTAGAGTGGTGGTTACCAGAGGCTGGGGAAGAGGGAGACAGAGAGTTGGTGTTTAATGGACACAGGGTTTCCATTTGGGGAAGAAGGAGAAGTCCTGGAGATGGGTGGTGGTGATGGTTGCACAAAAATGTGAATGTACTCAATGCCACTGAACGCTTAAAAATGGTTAACATGATACATTTGTCTGGCATGTATTTACCATAATTCTTTAAAAGGGGGAAAAAGAGAAAGAAAACCCAAGCATAACTGATTTGAGAAGAAAAAGGGATGTTTTGGCTCACATACCACATGTGAACCAGCTGCAGGTACAGTGTGATCAGGGCTCCAAAGGCAGCATAAAGAGTCTGGTTTGGGGCCCGGGTTCTTCCCTGGCTCCTGGGCTGAGGGATGGCCTCTAGCACCCTCCAGCTTCCATCATCACCACACTCAGCTAAGCAGAGTAGAGGAAGTTTTCGGGCACCTTCCCCCAGAAACCCAGGACTCATTTTCCTTTACCGGCACAAGCTGAGTGCTTTCACATCCATTCTCATTTTTCCATGCTCCCATCAGCCCTTGCGCACAGGTACAGAAGTCAGGGTGAAGGTGGCCAAAGTGTGGGATGCAGAGATAAGCACAAGCCAAGGCCCTGCCTCTGCCCTGGGGTGAAAGACCTGGCCACATTTTATCATGTGGACTAGAAGAGGGTGGGGGGTGGTGACCACAAAGCCAAATGGGGGTGCAGTTTCCGGAAAGAGAGGGAACGAATGCTAGGCAAACAAGCAACAACATGCTCACATATCCATTCCGTCATGTGCTCATTCATTCGATACTTCTCAGGGCCTCCTGCAGCTCGGCCCCCGGGGTCAGTGGCAGGATTAGCGAACGCCCTGGCCAGGGTCTTCCGCCAGCCTTGGAGAGACACAGTCTTGTGTGAGGCGACAGACAAATGTGTGTAACGCAAATCAATGAACGTCGCAAAAGCCACGAGAAGTAAGCCCCGTGGGCTGGTGGTTCCGCAGCTTTTGAGGGCTGCTTTTCTATTGGTCCTTCCTATTTCTCTGACCACAGAGCCTGCATGTGGGTCTGGAGGAAATTTGCCTTAAAATGTGGCCTCAGGGCCAGGCATGGTGACTCAAGCCTGCAATCCCAGCACTTTGGGAGGCCGAGGTGAGAGGATTGTCTGAGCCCGCAGGTTCGAGACTAGCCTGGACAACATGGTGAGACCTCGTCTCTATAATAAATAAATAAATTTAAATTAACTGGTCATGGTAGTGCGCGCCTGTAGTTCCGGCTACTTGGAAGGCCAAGGCGGAAAAATCGCCGGAGCCCAGTGGGTCAAGGCTGCTGTGGCTGGGAGCGTGCCACTGCACTCCAGCCTGGGCGACGGAGTAAGACTCCAACTCAATAAAATAAATAAATTAATTAAATAAATTGTGGCCCCAGTCCTGATCATGCGACAGATCACTGCCGTCTCCTGTCTTGCCAAGCGCTGAGTAAATGCCTTTGTTTCTGACTCATTTGAGTTGGCTGTTTGCACTTGAAAAAAGGAAAAAAAAAAATGTCTTGATGTCCAAATTCGTTTTCTGGGATTACTGTGACAAAGTGCCACAAGCCGAGTGGCATACATAGAAGAACAAAAGTGTGTTGTCCCACAGCTCTGGAGGCTAGATGTCCAAGGCCAAGGCGTCGGCAGGAGCTGTGAGGGAGAAAGTGTCCCAGGTTTCTCTCCTGGTTCCCGGCATGTTGCTGACTTATATTATTTATATGTGGGAATGCTATATCAGGTGCTTCAATTATAAGAGGGGCTAATCAGTTGCTAAATCCACCAATGATGATAGGCATTACTAAAAAGAAAATGATGAGAAATGCATGGGCAGTGACAATAGCATTGTAGATTTGATCATCTCTTAATAAGGCCCCTGGTTGATTGAGTTCTGCTCGGATTAAAAGGCTAAGGGCTGTTCCTGCTCTCTCAACTCAGGCACCAAAGAGTAGGTACGGTGTACTAATGTCTTTATGGTTTGCTGAGAATAATTAACAGTTGACAAACACAAGTAGGAGGATAGATTGGCTAAGTAAGCATTAGACTATAAATCTAAATATAGAGATTAAGCCCTCTTTTTACCAAAAAAGCCCTGAGGTGAATATACCATATTGAGTTGCAAATTCCAAGGAGTAGCTTCAGTTCTACTGGGGCTTCTCCCACCTTTTTTTTTCTAGACAGCAGGAGTGGTAGATTGAAGCCAGGTGACTAAGGCATTTAGCTATTAACTAAATTTTTATGGGGTTGGATCCCACCAATCTCATAAGGACTTAGCTTAATTAAAGTAAATGATTTGCATTCAGTTGACGTAGAATGGAGTTCTGCAGTCCTTAAGTTAAGGGTGCAGGAATTAAGCATAATTACTTACATTAAAGGGTCTTGGTCTGTTTTAACTAAATTTCTAACCCAATAGTAGGAATATTGATGGGAGTGATAAAAGTAAGGTTGATAGGGTAATGAGTGATGGCAGAAATATAATTTGTTTTGTACTTTTGAATTGTCATTTTATCTTTATGTTGTTGTCCACTGGCGATATTGTTAAGAATGTTAAGTAAATTAGCCACATGTAGAAATACAGATTAAGTAGGGCTATAATAGCTTTAAGTGTTGGTAACATAATGCTATATTTTTGGTTAGTTCTTGAATTGTTATGGTCCAAGTAGCGCTCAGCTGCTCCCCTCAATGTCAGTAAATCAAAGCGGGGCAGGGAACTGGTAGAAAGAAGTTTATTTCTGAGTTCGAATCCAGGTAGCAGAGCCAGACTCGAGGTCTTTCTAAAATGGTTCTGCTCATCCTCCAGGCTTTTATAGTTCACTTTTATAAGTCCAGAGTTATTAGAACCTATACGTTAGCCACGTGACCAACAAAGCATTGTATAGAACTTGAGTTTCAGCCGCATTTATCGATAGTAACATTTTTCAGTCCAGGCTTCCTAGTGCCAGGTATCAGAGGTGTCTCATAGATTCATCAGTAGGGCCCAGCAGAAACATTAATCAAGCTTACCAAAGAGTAAAGGGAGTTTACAAGGCCTAAGACATCATGCATTATGCAAAAATTTTACAAATCACAAAACTTATGGTTGCATTGATGCAAAAGTTATACAGATCACAAGGCTTACAATTCCATTGATACTATATTATTCAAATGTATAACCACTCAGAAAAAGAGAGTAAAGGGAGATTTGCATCTTTCAGTTGATTGGGCGTAGACTACAGGGACGTCAAGGATCCCCTGAAGCTAATTACATAGGAGATAAGGGGATGTACATCTTCTATTAGCCCTCAGGAATATTGTTCAGGAATGTACAGGAGCACTTGAGCCCTGGCCATGACCTCCTCTAGGGGCTGTGACAAAATGGACAGACATTAGTGGGTCTCTGTATCAGAATTACTCATTTAGGCAAGAATCTTGTGAGTGGAGGTAATCCTAATGATAGTAGAATAACAAGGGCTGAGGAAGCTATTCGTGGGAGCTTGTTTTATGAGTGAGAGTGATAAAAGTTGAGCATGATAAATAGAGTGACTGTTAAGGTAATGTTGATCAAGAGGTTCAATGTTATAATAGAGGGATTACACATTAAGACTGTGATTATTCAGCCCATGTGAGCAATTGAGGAATAGGTTAGGATCTTTAGTAACTGTGTCTGGTTAAGTCCTCCTCTTCCACCTACTATCATTGATAGCAGTGAGATCAATGATAATAGTTTCAGGTTTATGATTTTATTAATTTGCTATAAAATAGAGGTTGGTGCTAGTTTTTGTCATATTAGGAGTGAGATTCCTTGTGTGAATTCTGGGACTCAGAAGTGAAAGGGTAGAAGTCCTAATTTTATTATTAGGACAATGATAATGAATGATATTTGGTTAAAAATGATTGTGATAATTCATTGTCCAGCTAGGTTATATTTGCAATTACGGCTATGATAAGAAGTATGGGTGCAGTAGCTCGAATGAGGAAGCCTCTATTTGGTAGTGGCTCCACTTGATCAAGGATTCTTTTTTCTTTTATTAAGATAGCAATAATAACTAGCATATTAATTTCCAGTCCAATTCAGATTAGTAATCAGTGTGAGCTAAGTAAAGTGATTACAGTACCTATAAAGAGAATAAGAAGAATGAAGGAGAAAAATCAAGGGGTTGATTTGTATGAGAAAAGTATAAACCAACATTTTTGGGGTATGAGCCCAATAGCTTATTTAACTGACCTTACTATAGAATATGGTGTAATTTGGTCACACAAGGAACTCTGAATTCTTGAGAATAATTTCAATTCCTATGATTCTAGAAATAAGAGGGCTTAAACCTCTATAATTTACTCTATCAAAGTAATTCTTTTGTCAGACATTTTTCTTATATATGCAGGGGGATGCTCAATATTAAAATGGGTATTGAAATATGTCACATGCATAAGATTTAGTATGGAGGAAGTTTTTTCATAGTAGGTGCATAAGTTGATCATATCGAAAGCATGGGTTACATGCTCAAACTCATAAAAAGAGAATATTGAGAAAATGTGTTTTCACTACAAAGTTGACTGTAAAGATTTCTGTTTATGAAGATATCATGTAGTGCTCCCAGGAAAATAATAGTAGTTAGGGCATTTATTATAATAATATTGGTATATTCAGCTATGAAAAATAAGGCAAAGGGTCCTGTGGTATATTCAACATTAAAACCTAATAATACTTATTCTGATTCCCCTTCTGTCAGTTCAAAAAGTGCTCGGTTGGTTTCGGTTAGTGTTGAAATAAATCGTATAACAGCTAGTGGTCATGGTGGAAGGATTAGTCAAGAATATTCTTGGGTTGTAATAAGGGTTGATAGTGTGAAAAATCCACTTATAAGGAGAACTGGCAAGTGAATAATAGCCAGGTGGCTTGGAATGGGATGGATTGGGCTTCTGCTCAGAGTGCACCGATTAATGCATATTTAGAATTAGACGTTCATCTGGATTAAATCATTGAGTACCCGGCTAGACTGGATGTTGCCAAGATGAACAGGACTCCTATATTTATGTTAAGGAGGGGTTGAGGCATAGGAATGGGAATCCATGTAAGGAGGGCAAGGGATAGGGCTAAGGTTGTGGCGATAACGTTTAGGAGGGGTGGTGATGTTAGTGGTCAAAGGAGTTCTTTCATAAATAGCTTTATTGCATCAACAAAGGGTTGCAGAAGGCTATATGGGCCGGTGATGCTGGGTCCCTTACGAAGTTGCATATAGCCTTGTACCTTTCATTCAATTAATGTTAGGAAGGCTATAGCCAAGCACAGCAGGACTAATCAGGAGGAGTAAATTAATTATGAACCATATTGTTAAAAAGAGGAGTTGAACCTCTGATTATAAAGTTTTAAGTTTTATGTAGTTACCGGGCTCTGCCATCTTAATGAACCCTGTCCTCGGGCAGAGCAGTGAAAATCAACTTATTAGACTTAGATTATTTCATCTATTAAATTTAGAGCACTCAGAGTGGGCCCTATGTCTCTTGTTATTTCAAACTGGGGGAAATAAAAAATAGATAGAAATCGACCTGGATTGCTCCAGTCAGAACTCAGATCACATAGGATTTTAATCATGAAACAAACGAACCATTAATCACAGTTACACCATTGGTGTTGCTTGGCTTATATCCCCCTGATCTCTGCCTTCAGAGTCAGATGGTGTGCTCACTGGGTGTGCATCTGTCTCCAAGTGTCCCCTTTTGATAACGATAACAATCATATTGGATCCAGAGCCCACCCTGCTCTGGTATGACCCGACCTTAACTAATTCCTTATTAATAACTACCCTGCTTCCAGCTAAGGTCACATTCTGAAGTCCAGTGGGTCAGGACTTCAACATATGAATTTGAGGTGAGAGACACAATTTAACCTGTAACCAACACTGGTCCCCTCTCTGCTATGTCCTCCTTTCTTCTACAGACAACTTGAAAAACTTCCAGTGGGGGAGATGGAGAGAAGAGGCTCTCCTTGTGCTGTTACATAAAAGATAGAATGAACCATAGTTCAGATTGCCCTCAGTTGAGACTAATTGGCTTGGAAACCTTTAGACATGCCAAATAGGCACAAACCCTAGGGACCAGAAATGTTGCTTTCAAAAGACACATCATGTTTGGGCCAAATATTACAGGAGGTAGTCAGGGTTGGAAGTTCCTGGAGGGGCCACCCAACAGCAGACAGAGAAGATTCAACACCCCTGTCGATAGATCTTGCTCTAACATGCACAGCTGTGGATATGTGCTTGCCTATGTGGTATACTGTGTATCCAATACACACACTTACCCTATAAAACCTATAATAACAGGTAATAATTGTACTTTGACAGATAAAAATCCATAGATAGAAGTTCTGTTCACTTCTTTTCACAACCTAATGTCACCTCTGGGGCTCATGCCTCTGTTTGCAAGCCCAGCCCCTAAATAACACTTCTTCAATCAAATTCCCATCCTTCTCCACCTTCGTTCATTTTTCCTGCCATTTTCCCTCAGCTTGAATTCCTTCCGACCTCTCCCATCCTCTCCCAAGGTCCAGCCAAGTCCCATTTTTCAGAACATTCCCACTCTCCTTTCTTGTTTTCCAGTGTTTTTTAAGACTGGACTCTTTATTTTTTTTTTTTTTTTTGATCCAGGGTCTCACTCTGTCGGTTGCCCAGGTGGGAGTGCAGTAGCATGATCGATCATGGCTCACCGCAGTCTTAACCTCCTGGGCTCAGGTGATCCTTCCACTTCAGTCTCCCAAGTACCTGGGACTACAGGCATGTGCTACCCTGCCCGGCTAATTTTTTTAATTTCTGTAGAGACGAAGTCTCCCTATGTTGCTTAGGCTAGTCTCTAACTAGGCTCATCATCCTCCTGTCCCCCCGCAACCCAAGTGCTGGGATTATAGGCGTAAGCCACTGTGCCCAACAGGACTTTTTATTTACTTCATAGGTACTTTGTCTAGGTTCACTGCCAGATCCATAATAATTTCTTAATACCTGGTCTTTAGTCCACGGAAGAAATTACTCATTTTAAATTATGTTTTAAATTTCAAAGTATTACATGATAATAAGAAAACATTTGGAAAACAGAAAAGTCCGAAAACCATTCACAATGCCCTCGCAATCATCCTTTTTATGCCGTTGTCTTTTTTCTTTCTGGTCTTTTTTACGCATTGGTTCTTAGTTTCCTTTACAGCGTTGTTGTCAACTATAGTTTTGTTGGTTCCCAGTCTGCACTTAACACAAGCATTTCCCCCATTTTATCATACAACTCTTTATCATCATCACCATATTTAATGGCCACATGGTCAGGGTTACTGCTTCTATGGTTTAGTCTCCATCCAGCACAAAGTGTCTGGCCTCTGTGACAAGTAGAGACTGAAATCCTGCCTCTTTCCTGCTCACATGCCTGGTGTGGGCCTCAGCTTTCACAGAGGAAGGGGAACTGTTTGGTTGGGTGAAGGTGTTGCCCACCTACTGAGCCACGTACCTGTGGGCTGTCCATGCAGAAGTGATGCTTTACTAAAATTCACCTGCCCAAAGGGGTGTCTTTTCTACATTGACCAAAGTGCCTTCAAGGCTAGGTATATTTCCACCACGTCGACACCCTAAGGCTCGCTTAACCATTTTCTCCCAGGCAAAGGGCAAACGTTTCCAGTGCGATGCTTTTGAGAGTCCAAGTTCTCACTGAGATCATCTCCACAGGCCCTTCTGGGGTGAATAGTTCAAAAGGGAGTACCCAGACTGATAGCAAAATGTAATGGGGAGTGTAGAGACTAATAGCTCTGGAATCTGAAGCATCACAAGCAAAAGACATTCTCTCCTTTAAGACAGCAGACAGCTGTGGTTTCCACTGTGCCTTTTTTAGTGCCATATGAGGACAAAGCATGGAGTACACTTGCTTCTAATAACCCCCTTCAACTCTGTTCTTGGAATTGTAGAGCGAGTGTGAGTGCAAGAAAGGATTTCGAGGAAGCGGGATTGACTGCGAACCAATAACTTCATGCTTGGAACAGACTGGGAAGTGTCATCCATTGGTGAGTTGCTTGACTTTTTTTATTATTATTACTTTTAAAAAGTGCTTGTGAAAGAAAGAAAGCTAGATTAGGTTATTTCTTGTCTGACCTCATAATGAACAAATCTCTTACCCCCAAAGGGAGTCCCAAAGTGGAATGTAAGTAATTATTGCAACTTTTATTTCATTCCAAACCTTGGAAGACCCAATATATGGTTGCCAGATAAATATAGGATTCTCAGGTAAATTTGAATTTAAAATAAGTAACAAATAGTCTTTCAGAACAGGTAAGTCCCAAATATTGCATGGGACAAAAAGACACTAAAAAGTATTCATTATTTACCTAAAATGGACATTTAACTGGGTGTCCTGTCTTTTAACTTGCTAAATCTGGCAACTCTAAACCAACAAGATAGTTTAAAGGGTAAGTGGATTCCCATTTTGAATGCCATAGAAGAGTTTTACTCAAATCATGGGTGAAAATGCCCGTTCAAGGGTAGTTTGCCCCTGGTTTCTAAATTTTGGAAAGGCAGGTAAAGGTGTTAGAGCTAGTCATGTTTTCAAAAGAACATCACTAAGCATCAAACATCAGAACCAATGGGAATGATGCCTTCCTTAGCTACAGAGTTTTGGGTTGCAAGTAACAGAACCCATGCAAATTGGCTCAGGCAGAAAAGGAATGTGTGGCGAATACTCCCAAGGTCGCTCTGGGAATCCAGAGGCAGGAGTATAACTAGAACTCCCAAGGGCTCAACCAGGACGTGAAGGTACCAGGATCCCCAGGATGGAAGCAGCTTCTATCCCCAGGCCTCCGAGACCATGTGCTCTCTCATATTACTTCTCTCTGTGCGTTTGCCTTCTCTCCGTCTCTCTCCCAACTTTTAGTGCGTCTCTGAACATCTTGGGATAAATGGTCCTCCACCACTAGTGATGCCCACTAACTTATCAGCACCCCATGTCCCAATTCAAAACCCTAGGAGAAAGAATCTCACCAGCCCAGCTGGGTCAGGGTGACCACATATGAGCCTGTCAGTGGTGACCAGGAAGTGGGACTGTTACAAGCATAGCTGCAAGGGTCCACCCTTAATTTGTCTGTGGGGATGAGGGGGTGAGGGAAATAGATGTGTTCTCAGGGAAGAAAAATGTGGGGGGAAAGATGGCTTCAAAATCTCAAAGTATCTATTACCCAAGAATCACAGAGTATTTTTGTTTGTTTGTTTTTAATCCCGACGCATCACAGGCTGGACCATCTGGGCTCAAGCAATTTTCTGTCTCAGCCTCCCGAGTAGCTAGCTGGGCCTATAAGCATGCACCACCATGCCCAGCTAATTTTCTAATATTTTTTTATGGAGATGCGGTCTTACTCTATTGACCAGGCTGGTCTGGAACTTCTGAGCTCAAGCGATTCTCTCACCTCGGTCTCCCAAAGTGCTGGGATTACAGGCGTGAGCCACTGCACCCAGCCCGCAGAAGCATTTTATAAAGCTGAAGGAACTCCAGCACTCCTGCTTAATTTAAGCCCAACCAAACCCTGACATTCCAAGTGAGAGTAGTTAGGGTAACTTTCATTCCAATCCAAAGCTTGGAAGGACTAACGTAGGGTTGCCAGATAAAATAGGGGGCACCAGCTGAACTTGAATTTCAGATACCCATTTATGTGTTGAATAATTTTTCAGCACAAGGACGCCCCAAATATTGTATGGGACAAACTTATACTAAAACGTGTTCATCATTCATCTGAAATTCAAATCTAACTGTGTGTCCTGTATGATTTTTTATTTGCTATATCTGGTAGGGATGAAAAGAAAGAAAGAATGTAATTGTGACTGAACAAGAGTTGCATCAAACTTGCAGACGGAAGCCTTTCATTGCAGCATCCACGTCTGGGGCTACCTCTGCCATCTTGCCTTCCCAAATTTGCAGTTCTCACTTCAGTAGGAATCTACTATCTCATGGACAAAACTCAGGCCCAAGCTTTAGTTCAGAAACAGTACATTTCTTGCATATTGGTCTTACCAGGCGCGCTGTCAGCTCTCTCCTTCCGGTGTCTGGAGCTGTGTCTGTCAAGAGGGCTATGAGGGGGACGGCCTCCTGTGCTATGGAAATGCAGCCGTGGTAAGTTACCTGCAGTAAACTTAAGCACACAATAATCAGGACAAAACCCTCTTACACAAAAACCTCTTAGCTAAGATGCCCTTAAAGTACTCTGTTGACCAACCACTTGCTGCAGGAGATTTCACATGAAGCCTACTGCTTCTTGTAGATGACACATGTGCTCTGTGGGTCCCACATTTTCTACCAGCTGAAGGGAGCTGACTTTTATTTGGCACCCTTTGTGTATGTGTAAAGCAGTCCAGATTTCTCTTTCTTGCCACTCAATGTCTTTTCATTCTCAAACATCCCACGTAACTACCCGGCCTCCACTGGGCCTCTGATAGGCACCCGGAGCACCCTGTGCTCACTCCATCTGTGTGTGTGTGCGTGTGTGTGTGTGTGTGTGTGTGTGTGTGTGTGTGTGTGTGTGAATACACCTTCTGTGTACCAGGCATCTTGCTAAATTCTTACCATGCAACGGCACCTCACTTAAACCTCACATCAACCATCTGAAGTTGATGTCATTATTATGACCATTTTACAGGTGAGAAAACTAAGAGGCTAAGCAAACTTGCCTAAAGTCCTTCCATGAGGAATACAGCCCATAGCTATCTAAGGGCAGACTTTAAACGCTGACCCACGGGTGTCATGGGTCACCCCAAGTTGGCAAGGCACCCACACCTGTCTATTTTAATCACAAACTCTTGAGAGAAGATCTTTGTCTTGTTTCCTATGCCGCTCTCATTGCCTATAAATATTTGTCAAAGTCAGAAATAAAGGCACTTGACAAATTTCCTCATCACTGACTTCTTGTTCAGTTCTGGGCAGTTGGGTCCCTGCCTTTCCTCTCAGCTGAAACTACGGGCTGTTCCAGCAGTCCCCAGGACCCACAGTCCTCAGAGGAGCCTGGCCAAGCACAGCTCCCCAGGCTGCCCACAGCAGGGACTCATGGGGGGGCTCTTCTCACCCTTCTCCTCGCTGTTGACTATGCTTTCCACTCAGGACCAGGCCAAGGAAGTATTCCCCAACACCTTGGCCATGGAGTGTAGACCTCGGCATTTTTTCTGCACTGCCCCAGGGCCGTGTTTCCTAGAACCCTAAAACCCTGCCTTCACGATGGCACTGTCCTCCCACACAAAGCAAGCTAGGTCCTCGACCTGGACCTCCGGGTCTTCACCCAGACTCCACTTGCTCTTCTTTCAAACATCCCTTCCCTCCTGCTTAGCGATGCCTTCCCAGAGCCAGGCCTCTCTCTCAGGACACAGCCTCTGCCTTCTCGCCCTCATTTAAGGCCCAGCTCAGCCCTCCTCTCCCTCAAAGGGATTCTCAAGCATCTCTGCTCTTGTACTTACTTATGTACTTACTAATTTACTTTTAATGTATCTTTATGAACAGTCAACTACTTTCAAAGAGGAATTGAGACAGCACTGAGACGTATCATCTTCGTGCAAATTTGCATAGGACCATTATTATTGCTATTCTGTGGTATCTCATAATTTAAAAAAATGTTTTCACATGCACTAATGCACTTAATTTTTATAATCCCGGAGGGAAGGCCTCACCATGTTCATTTTCAGAGGCACTGGAGTTCTCAGAGTGGTTAAATGACATGCTAAGGTCACACAGGCAGTTAATGGCAGATCCAGAAACGGAACCCAGTCTTTTTAAACTCAAAACCCAGAGCACTTTTTTTCTTTTAACTCTGACATCTTCAAATGTCACTGATTTGCCAGCAATGTTGGTTATCTTTTCCAGACTGAATTTCTCCAAAGCAACTATAAGGACCAGGCTTTTTCCTTCAAAATCTTCTATATCCCCTTTCATGTCTTATATCCTTTATTCGCTCCATCCCAGTGTCAGTTGGGGTGGCCCTCTCTCTCTCTCTGTATTCATTAGTTAAGAAAATCCATGATAGAGAAATCAAAAATAAGAGTGGCTAAAACATACTGAGATTATTGCATGCCAAACTCTATTCTAAGCACTTTAAAAACAACTCCTCTGTTTGCCACATCAACCTGTGAGTTGGAGCCTTTATTATTACCATTGTACAGATGAAAAGATCAAGGTCCATTAGGTAGTTGGCCTAAGGAACTAGAAAATGAAGCAACCAGAATGAAAACCCGGGTGGTTTGATTCCACATTCCAAGCCATGAATCAATGATGGCTTTGAGAGGGGACTACATGCTGAGCTCTGTGACCCTCCCTGGGGTCTGGGTGGCTGTGTTCTGGCAACTTAAATTCCGATTTGGAAGAACTTCTGGTCATTGCTACATTTGAAGCTTCTGGAATGACCTCTTGGTTGCAAATATAGAGGACTGTTGAGCCACCTTAGTGTGAAAGCAATGCCCAGCTCTGGCAATGTAGAAATGCACCCAGCTGGGCATCCTTGCACACCGACCTCAGAGAGGCTGCCGAGGAAGAGGAACCCAGCCCAGGATGGCTCAGCAGGCGCCAACACCACTGTGAATGCTTCTCATTGTTCTTTCTCTGTGTTCTCTCCTGTCTCTCCTCCCTCCCCGCACGATATGAAAAAGGAATTGTCGTTTCTCTCCGAAGCAGTTATATTTAGCCAGTGGATACACGTGAGTACCTTGGCTGAACTTTAGGATTGAGTTGTACATCATTTTAGCAATTTGGAATGTGTATGATAGCAAACTAAAGGTGCAGCTCAGCAGAAGGCGGGAGGGCGACCATTCTGAGCAGGGGCTTTCAAGTTGTCTGCACTCCAGAGCCACATGGAACACATTTCTCAAATGCTCCTGCCCAGGCTCTCATGCCAAAGACTCTGATTTGGTTGGTCAGAGGTTTGCTCTGGGCATCCGTGTCTTTTAAAAGCTTCACAGGTGATTCGAACGTGTGACCAGAGCTGAGAATGTCACGTCTAGGGTAAGCTGGGGTGGTCAAATTTTTAACCAGTTCAGATATGTATCTACAACTTCTTTCATCACAGAGGTGGTCTTTTATCTAAAATAGCATAATTCATCATTGTCATCCATCAAGTGAGATTTGGGATTTATCGCTGCAACTTGGGATGCTTCATACGTGTTTAGCTCTCAGTCCATCATGCCCAGAAAGGCTTACTCCCTGCCCCCTCTAGAAAGCATTCTAGTGAAGAATCCAACCCCCACCCTACCCAGTTGTCTAAGTCTCTGCTCTCTGGGGCTGCACAAGCCCAGGTGGCTGGGAGGCCATCGCAACAAATGATGTGTACCCTTTGAATAGCCCCATGTGTCAAAGTAGGCCATATCTGAGCACCCACTCCAGGATGGCTCCCTGTTGCTTCTGTGTGGGACCCTGCTAAGCCCCCCATTCCTCCACGAGCAGGGGAAGAGTTCAAGAGCTCTCCCTTGATGTGTTCTCATGTAGACTGGCCTTTGGTCCCACCCCACATGCATGAGCTTGCCTGTGGTGCGCTGGGCCCAGCTTGGACCAGCTCACAGAGTTCACTGTGTGCATTTCTCCAGCTCCACTTTCAGTGCTGTCAGGTTGGTACCTTGGAATCATCTCTGGTGGAAGTATGTACACCTGGGAAGTCAGCAAATACTACAACCCTGGGCTTTTTTTGTCTGTCTGTTTGTTTGTTTGCCTGGAGATCCAGTTGTTAAAACATAAGCATGCCACTATTTCTACACAGAACTGGCTCTCTGGGCAGGAATGAATAGCAGGTAAATTTGGACTTCAGTCCTCTAGTTTATCCCATGCTGAAACTGTTCCTGCAGTCTCCCCACTATTCTTGTTCCAGAGATATCCAAGAATTCTCAAGGGTTTTTGCACACACAGACACACACACACACCCCACACACTCACACACACAGACACAAATACACACACATTCACACGCAGGATCCCATCAAGACTATTTCTCTGGCTCTTCATTTAGACTAAAGTGTAAAGGACTCGTAATGGCTTGTGTGATATGACTCACACATTTAATTAAGAGGGATGAGTTTCCCGAGTGAATCCAAGGGCCAGTGACTGGGGGATTTGGGGAAAGGGGGCCCTTAGACCTCTCCCTGAAAGCATATCCCATGGGAAACCGTCACGTCCGCCAGGCAAATTCAGCCCTGTTTGTCTCTAACATGAGTCAGGTCTCTTGATTTTCCCTCTGTGATTTAGAATGCTTCTCTGCAAGCCATGCTGTCAGCAGCGCCAAACCTCACTGTCCTCGTGCCTTCCCAACAAGCTATCGAGGACATGCACCAAGATGAGAAAGCCTTCTGGTTGTCACAGAGCAACATGCCGGCCCTGGTAAAGTAGGTATTGTTCAGTTTTTATCCTACAAGATATCCAAATAGTATCAGTGTGCACATATCTTCAGAGTTCAACGCAGGGAAACCACATGATCCTTCAAACTGAGTATGTTCTAGAATTCCCCTCCCCACCCCAAATCGCAACAGTTAGCAATTGTTGGCAGTCACTCTTCTGCTCTACTATACTCAGTTAATTGTCCCAACAACCCCATGAGACAGGCTTTATACTGGTTCCCATTTTCCAGATGTGGTAACGGAGGCATAGGGTGATTGAGGAACTAATTCAAGCAAGGGAAGCTTGAATTTGGAATATGGAAGTCTGGCTCCAGAGTCTGTCTGTTAACTACTCAGTGACACCCTCTCGCACGTCAATATTTCATTACAGGCCTATGGACTGTTGTTTCAGGTACCACACGCTGCCAGGCATGTACAGAGTGGCAGATCTGCAGAGCCTGTCTTCTTCTGACATGCTGGCAACATCCTTGCAGGGCAACTTCCTTCACCTGGCAAAGGTGGACGGGGTAAGAGCTCTGTGGTTTGTCTGTTTCGTTGAAACAAGGCATCTCTGTTCCTATTGTACTTTTAAAATGTTGTGTTCTGGGAATTTCCAAACATGTGTGAAACTAGAGAGGCTAGAAGCCCCAAGTGGGAGTCACCCAGCTGTAATAATTGCCACAAGTGTCATTACACACAGACACACACAGACACACACACACATTACTCTGTAGCACTGATCCCGTAAAACATGGCCTTTTGCCCACAGGTTGGCCACAAGCTGATCCAAAATGGAAAAAGAATGTGCAGATCCATGCCTTTTCTTTGATGTCCAGTTAACTAAGAGCTGGCTATTAGTAACCTAGGAGCTGAAACTTTACAGATAACTAAAATTTTATATTAAGTTGGGGTCAGTCAATCAACAGATATTTGTTGAGCACCTACTGTGTGCCAGGCACAGATCTGGGTGCTGGAGACAGAGAAATGCCCAAGGGTGAGCCCCAGAGAAGCTCACCGCCAGGCACTGGCTCCAGTGTGCCAAGGGCTCAGATTCAGAGTTTCATGAGGAAGTCTGGTCACCTTGCTGCATGAGATATTATTTCAAAGCTCTTTCTGTAAATGGCACAAGACAAGAATGAAGATTTTCCTAGAAGGGGACAACTGCTATATCTGTGAACCGTGGAACACAGTCCAAAATATTTGAGGATCACTGCCCTAAGACGCTTCTACCTCCTTTCTCCTCTGTGTGAGCACCATGAAAAGGGTCTGTGCCTTCTAATACCTCAGTAGATGGGACTTATCAGTAATTTCTCTTAGAAAGTAGAAAACAGTTACATAGGGTCCCATTTTTTCATGTCTCATTATGATAATTCTGGTGACATTAGGGTTGCTTTCCATTGGGTTTTTTATTGTATATATTTAAAGTGGACAACATGATGTTGTGACATACATTGTACAATGGTGTCTGTACCAATGATTCTCTTAGCAGGCATGAACTGAACACCCACCCAGACAGGCACATCCCAGGCACTACAGAGTCAGAGATAGATTATTCAAGGCCCCTGACCTAGGGGAGCTAACTAGTAAAGACGCACTTTGAATGGGTTCATTCCGGTGTCTGATATCAACACCTCCCTTTAACGGAGAGATGTGCAAAGTAGCCAGGAGGGTTCTCTTCAGGGCTCTGCCCCTGTGACCTGGGAGCAGCTCGGGGGAAGACAAGTCCAGGTTTCACAGTAGGAACTTCAAATAAAGGGTCATTTGGAGAGAAGAGGAGGGGGCACCAGAGAGGGTAGGACCCAGGTGCTGTTGGTTGGAGGCTGGGTGACAGGGTGGTCATTAAGCTCCATTCCTTACGTAACTAATAGTCTCACAATGTGGTAGAAAGTCAGTTACGCTCTGTATTAGTTAGCGAGCACTGTTGTGACAAAGTTCCACAGTCTGGGGCTTAAACCCCAGACATGTTTTCCCACAGTTCTGGAGGCTGGAAGACCAAGGTCAAGGTGTGAACAGATGGGTCCTTCTGAGGCCATGAGGGCAGGGGCTGCCCCAGCCTCTCTCTTTGGCTCAAAGGTGGCCTTCACATCCTAGGTGTTCTCCCTGCACGGTGTCTCTCTGCACATTTTCTTCTGACAAGGACACTGGTTATCGTGGACCAGGGCCCACTTCAGGGTCTCATTTTAACTTGATCCCCTCTGTGAAGACTCTCTTTCCAAATCTGTGGTTCTGGGCTGGGGTTCTGGGGGTCAGGACTTGAGCATATGAGTTTCAGGGGCAGGGGAACACAGTTCAGCCCACGATGCTGTCTACGCTGTTTTTCAAACTGCAGGGTCATTTTAATAAGCCTCAAACATCACTTTTTAAAGAAATAGAATTGAGTGGAATAGCATCGATGATCAGAGTGCCGCCCACATAGTAGGAGAAAGTCCTATTTCGCTCTCTCTCTCTCTCTCTGTGTGTGTGTGTGTGTGTGTGTGTGTGTGTGTGTGTGAGAGAGAGAGAGAGAGAGAGAGAGAGAGGAGGGGCAGGGGAGTCTAAATTTAAAGGTATTTCTCACTGTAGGTCACGGCTCAAAAGTATGAAGGTCACTACTATTCAGATCCATCCCTGGGTGTGCTCCAGAGACTTACCTTCCCCTGTGGTTTGCATTTACAGAATGTCACCATTGAGGGAGCGTCCATCATTGACGGGGACAACGCCGCCATAAACGGAGTCATACACATCATCAACAAGGTACGGACTCCACTTCCTACACACGTAACACCTCGTCTTCCTTTGTTATCTATCCTCCTACACACCATCTTTACTGGAAGATAAAAATACCTAGGCTTCATATACAAGTAACCTGCATTGTGCTTCATGACCTTTATTTTAAAACCATTTCAAGTCTCTGTTCATTCAACGAGACTCGGCCACCCCTTACTCAGTCTGTGTTCCACAGTCGGATGGTCACACGTTGTTCTCTTTCCGCTTCATGGAAAATCTCAGAAAGCACTCGGTGCCCCAACAGGAAGTCCACGTGTCTGGACGAGGGTCACCCCGATCTGGAGGAGAGTCATGTGGCTGTGAATCACTGCTCCTCTCCCCTCTGCCTTACTGCACTCTAAAACAATGAGGTGGGGAAAACCCAGGGGAAAATGGAAAAGGATATGAAAAAGATTGTGAAGTTGTCATTTTCTTCTAACATCCAGTTCAACAGAATTCAAACGTTTGAAATGGAAAAAATAAAGAAGAACGGAAAATGGGACTGCAAGCTGCCCTATAATTTTCAGTTACTATATTAGGATCTTCGTTTCAAGTGAAAGTTAGAATTTAGGGTCTATGGGGAGTTTTTGTAAGATGGTAGATTGGAAAGAAACGACTAATTGCGGTTTAATTAAATTGTTCTCACTTGGGACTTATATACTCAGTTTCAAGTTTAAGTTCCAGAAAAGGTCAACTATTTCGATTTAGAAAAAAAGAATCTATTTGTAAGACTCCTGGATGTGTTACTTTGCAAAGATCGTGCAATTCTCCCGTATTACCAAGGGCACCAAGAAACATCTTTGAGCAAATAATGTGTCACTTCTGGAGAGCACAGTTGAGGGTGTTATTCCCTTCCAGTCCTGGCTTTCCAAAGTACTAAAAAACCTTTTACAACACACACAAACTTACCTCTCCTCCTTACTTCCATTTTTTGGTGAAAAAGTCCCATTGGTGGCATGGCTCTTCCCTATCCTACACCAGAACATTATGATCCTGGAGGCCTGTTAAAATTCCACCTCCTCTGTTCAACCTTCCCCAACCACACAGGCCAGTGAGGGTGAGGCAGTGTCCCGAAAGTAAGTCCTATAGTCATACACAACCTGGGTTCAGACACTTTGCTTGCTGTGTGACTTCAGGCAAGTAATGTAACTTCTCTGAGCCGCCTTCATCTTCCCCCAAAAGAATGAAACACCGCCCTCTCTCTTGATGCCTGCTGCCTAATGAACCTTCAATGAATGTTGCTTTCACTTCCTTCTTCCTCCTCGGAAATCCCATGGGATTTTTTTATACAGCACGTATTTGGCATAGCTATGTCTTGTTGTTCAACAGCTGTTCCTTATGGTCTAAGTCCTAACCCTTCCCTGATGGTGTGCCCTGGAGGCATGGCCTGCGTGTCCCTGTGTCCCTCAGCACCCATGCCTTGCCCTGCACACAATAGTAATTGGGATTTTTGAGGGTTCACTAGGTGCCAGGTACTGTGCCAAGCACCACGCGCTGCATTATCTTGTGATTTTTTTTTTTTTGAGTTGGAGTCTCACTCTGTCACCCAGGCTGGAGTGCAGTGGCACAGTCATGGCCACCCCAGCGTCGACCTACTGGGCTCCGGCAATCCTTCTGCCCCAGCCTTCCAAGTAGCCGGAACTACAGGTGCACACTACCACACCCGGCTAATTTTTGATTTATTGAAGAGACGAGGTCTCGCCAAGTGGCCTGGGCTGGTCTCAAACCTGTAGACTCAGGCAATCTACTCGACTCGGTCTCCCAAAGTGCTGGGATTACAGATATCTCGTGATTTTTATAACAACCCTGAGAACACAGGTGCCATGTTGTCCTCAGTTACAATTGAGCCAGCTGAGATCCTTCATGGTTATGTAAGGGGGTTGGGGAAGCAGTTACATGAATACAAAAGATCTGTGGATGGTGTCAGCCAACCCACGTTCTCTGCTTGGCTTCTGGGCTGCACTGGCTCCCTCTGCAGCCCCTTCTGTGTCTGTCTATGGTATCAAGGTCACCACTTTCAGGTTTACTGGGTGTGCCCTGTATGAGGTGCCCAGCCAAAGGATAGAGGGTAGCCAAGCAGCTTGTGGGGACCAGCCCACCTCACTCCACATTCTGTGCACCCATTTGTGGTTACAAACTCCCAGTAAAAGGTGTGCCTTTAAAAAATGTCCAGTGGCCATTCACAATAGCAAAAACATGGAACCAACCATGCTACTCATCAGAACTGGACTGGATCTTTTTAAATGTGGTACATATACACGATGGAATAGTACACAGCCATTAAGAAGGACAAAATTATGGACTTCACAGCAACTTGGTTGGATTTGGAGTCTATCATACTCAGTGGTCTATCACAGAAACAAAGATCCGAGTACCACGTGTTCTCACTCATAAGTGGATGCTGAACACCTATCATAATACTACAAAAAAGGGGTTGGCGGTAGCAGGAGACTGCCCGGAGAGTGCAGGGGGGAGCACATAAAATCAGTAAGGGTACCTGACCCTAATCCAGGTGAAAGGAAGTCCATTGGAAGACCCAAAACTTTACCTGTACCAGAACCACTTATGTACGCAACCCTGACTTGTATGTACCTCAGAACTTTAAAAGAAAAAAAAGAATAAATAAAAATGTGCAGTGGCCATCATAATTGCCTGTCGTTATGTGGCACGGACATAGAACCACCAAGTCCTACAGACCATCTCCTCATAACTCTGAAATCTGCGAAGTCCCATCTCACCATCCCAAGCCCCTCCTCCCCACTGAGCTCCAGAAACTCAGAAACGCATCTGTCTCTCTCTAACACAGGGCTTGGCACAATTTTTCTGGAAAGAACCAGACAGCAAATATCAGGCTGTGCAGATCACAGGGTCTTCATCACAGCTAGGCAACCCCGCCATTGTAGGGCAAAAACAGCCTTAGACAACATGTAAACCAATTTGCATGATAGTGTTCCAATGAAATGTTTTTAAGTACGAGCAGCAGCCTGAATTCGGCTGTCTACTGTCTCATGCTGTGAGCACCTCGAAGGCAGGATATCCCTCAATCATATCCATGTTCCCACTGCCTGGTGTGGAGTAGTCACTCAGTCAAGTTGGTGAAAGGATGATGGAATTAGAAAACCATTCCAATGTTGGTTCTTCCACCTGAGATGGCTTGAGGTAGAATGAGAATCTGGAAATGGTCATCTTGGCCATAAGGTTAACCATGCAGGGCTTTGTGAACACCAGTGCCCATAGAGCTCAGCTGCATAACAAAACGAGTCAGGGAAGCAGGTGGAAGGCATTCGGGAGTGGTGGAGACTGTGAGGAAGGTGGCTGTGGCTACTGTCTGCAGCTGTGTGTCTGCAGTAAAGCAGACTGGTGTTTTTAAGAAGTCAGAAACCTCAATTTTAATGTTAAAATGTCCTATTTTATTGCACTGCGTGATCTACACAGAACATTTTTACAAGCCAGATTCAGGCTACTGGACCGCAGTAGATTTGAAACTTCAGGGAAAAGAGTGGAAGAAACTGACAAGCAAAAGAATAACAACTGAGAAAGAATGGGTTTTAGCTGCAGCCAACTGCATTTCAGTTAGATTTGTAGGGTCTTCCCAACAGGTAGGTGATGCAGGTTGGGATGAAGCTGTAAAGTCACGTGCACAAGATGAAATTTCCTCTAATTGGGGAGGTTTAAAGGTGAGATGTAAACTGAACTAATGACATTTCTAAGTCTCCTCCAGCCTTGTCACTCTGTATCCTGGAATATTTTTATTCTGCTAGTAATCTTCAGCACATTGTCAAGGTCCAATTCTTTTCACTGCCTAAAGAAGTTATTGGGGACTTTCGCAGGCATTGGTGAGCACCAAGTCCTAAAAGGTGCTGACCGAATTCTGGGGTTTCCTCTTCCAGGTGCTGGTCCCCCAGAGAGGCCTAGCTGGCTCCCTGCCGAACCTGCTTACGCGGCTGGAGCAGATGCCCAACTACTCCATCTTCCGGGGCTACATCATTGCAAGTACCACATCCCCTGCCTCATATCTTGCTCCCATCACCAAGAACAGGCATCACTCATGGCTCTTCTCTCTTGCCAACACAGCAATATAACCTGGCCAGTGCCATTGAGGCTGCCGAGACCTACACGGTGTTTGCTCCGAACAATGATGCCATCGAGAATTACATCCGGCAGAAGAAAGCGGCAAGTCTAGTAAGTATCAGAAACTGTAACCAGGGAAATTTCTTTCTGAAAATTCAAACACTCGACATTGTCCATCCACCAATCACACGCTGATTCACTCTTCCATCAAAACCTCCTGTCCATAGCCACATACTTGATGTGGGCTCACGCACTCTCCCATTCACACACCTTCCCCGGGCCATGAGGAATGCTTTGTGCATTGCCCTGGTATTGCATGCTTGAATCCATAAGCACAAGCATGCAAGTGTGATGCATTGAGGGTGTGTGTGTGTGTGCCTCTGTGTGTAGATATGAGCAAAGGTACCACACACATCTAGGATCCACATAAGGCCATCACCCTGGTTAGACCATGGGGTTTCCCCAGAGCATGGGGGGAACGGTAGGGGGCAGGGGAGACAGCAGTGGGCCTATGGGATTTCAAGGGAATTTCCGTACCAGTCCCATCTCCTTAGCATCTCCATCTGAGTCACCCTATAAAAGGTGTAAGTTAGTCGGGCTTGGTGGCTCAGCCTATAATCCTGTGCTTTGGGAGGCTGAGGTGAGTGAATTGCCTGAGCCCACGGGTTCGAGACCCCCCTGGGCAAGTTGGCGAGACCTCATCTCTACAGTAAATCAAAAAATTAGCCGGGCGTGGTAGCGTGCGCCTGTAGTTCCAGCTACTTGGAAGGTTGAGGCGGAAGGATCGCCGGAGCCCAGCAGGTCGAAGCTGCAGTGACCGGGAGCGGCCACTGCACTCCAGTCTGGGCGACAGAGTGAGACTCCAACCCAAAAAAAAAAGAAAGAAAAGAAAAGAAAATACCCTGTAAGCCGGCTCGGTGGCTCAGCCTGTAATCCCGCGCTTTGGGAGGCTGAGGTGAGTGAATTGCCTGAGCCTGCGGGTTCGAGACCCACCTGGGCAACTTGGCGAGACCTCATCTCTACAATAAACCAAAAAAATTAGCCTGGCGTGGTAGCACGTGCCTATAGTTCCAGCTACTTGGAAGGCTGAGGCAGAAGGATGGCCGGAGCCCAGCAGATCAAGGCTGCAGTGGCCGGGAGTGGCCACTGCACTCCAGCCTGAGTGACAGAGTGAGACTCCAACTCAAAAAAAAAAGGTGTAAGTGAAAACAAGGTGCTTGCTGTGAAAATCTAGCTTCAAACATGTCCTCTCATGTGGGGCTAGAGTAGAACAGCCCCGGGTCCCTCCTATAAGAACATTCTGGGGCTACCACTGAATATAAGAGAAATTGTGGCCAGTTTATGGAGGTCTTAAATACCTGGGGAGGTAGTTTGGACTTAGTCCTGCAAGAATGGGATCCTCCCAAGGGTCTTAAGCTGGATCATGGCATGATTGAAGCTTCTTCATTCATTCACGAAGTCCTCTGACACACAGTGGTTGTTTGCCCCCAGATGTTAGGAATCAGAGAAGAGGAGGAAGAAGATCTCCCCCTCTGGGTCCTTGCTGCTGACAACTCAGCTGCTAGGATCAGGGAGAGGTGGGGAGAAGGAGGAGAAGGGCTCACAAGGCTCCTTCCCGGTCTCTGGGACACCCACATGCTTGTGTTTATGGGCCAGGTGTGCGATTCCAGGGCCCCACACAAAACACCCAGAAGCTCCAGTCAAGGAGGCCTGAGCAGGAGAGTCTCTTTGTGAGTCTATACCAAGTGTGTGGCTGTGGACAGGGGACTTTGGTGGAAGAGAAAATGGCATGTGATTGAAGACACGGAGTGCTTGGATTTTCAGAAAGTGTGGATGTTTTTTCCCGTACTTAATAAGGCAAAAAGGAAGACTGCCCTTCCTCCTCACTACCTTCTCATCCTCCCTGCAGTCCTTCATGTCCAGTCCTGCCTCCTCGGGGAAGGTGGCTTTGGCCATGCTTATCTCTCTCCCCTTCCTCGGAATTCACAGCATCTTGCCCCCTTTAGGGCTGATCACCTATTCCTGGTGTGATGACCTGTGTTTTCAAGGGGTTAAGTCAGCTTCCCACCTAGGCTAGAAACCCTGGAGGCAGAGATGGTGTCCCCCACTTCTGTAACAGGCATGTTGAACAAGCAGGACCCCTGGGGTGGAGTCGGAAATCATTGTGACCTTCCCACCTCACCCCCACCTGTTTCTTTAAATTCGTTCAGTGGAGAACGTTCTTTTCCTACCCCAGGACGAAACTTTGGAGGGTTCCCAGCCTCTCTGCTTCCCCAAGAAGTCCTAGAGTCACTTTAGTGATAAATGCACCTTAAGTCACAAACATAGTCTCAATTAAGCACGAATAAAGAAAGAGTTCAGCTCCTTGCAATAATCAACAGCCTGAGCTGGATTTTAAATTAATTTTTGATCTCCCCTTTCCACAGTGGAGCTCTGTACTAACAGGAAACTACATAAAAGAGTTCAATCTTAAATCAGTTGGGGGCCATTAGGAGACGGAAACTGTACCAGTTACTTGGCAAGAGAGAACTTAATACTATGAGTTTGTGTGTGTGTGTGTGTGTGTGTGTGTGTGTGTGTGTGTGTGTGTGTGTGTGCTAAAACCCTTGAGAATTCTTGGGAATAACGCTGAATAAATTTAACTAAAAGTTGATAAAACAGAGAATGATCACAGTTGTCGCAACAGCAGCCAGCATCTACAACCTCTGGCCCTTCTTTTCTGGGGACGCACTTTAAAATGTGCACAACAATAGGCTTAATATTTAACCATCTAGAGTTTCAGAAAACCTGGCATGCCTTTTTCTCAAATGAACAAGTTGTTTCTGATAAGAGCCCAGGGACTAACAATTCACAAACTCAAATCAAAGGACATCCTCAAATACAAGCACTAATGAGTTGGGACCACACTTTCCTGGTGCCTACAAATTGGTCTACTAGACCCAAATGCAAGGCGTCCAACTCCTGGCGTGTGATCCAGCTTGGCGTACCTATGAGCACGTCCACTCCAAGGATGAGCACGTTTGCTCCAAATCCCAAAATCTCCCAGCCTTTTCTCACAGGGACACAGTCCATGATCAGCAGGAATGGCCCCTCGGAGAGTCCCCAGAGCAAAAGGGCTCCAACAACCTCAGGGAGTCTCCAGAAAACTACCCTATCAATACTGGCCAGCTGCAGACAGCAGTCATCCTGGTGAAGATCATGATCTCATGAAATGCATGTCCAGTCTAACAAACCAGCTGCTCTCCCTCTCAGTCCATCAAAGATAAGAGGCAAAGACTGGGGGTGGGGGTTAATTTCTGCAACCAGGTTACAGGGAGATGGCCCAGTATCATTACCAAAAACCCACTCAAGGCAACACAAACTTATCCCAGTATTTATATCCAAAGTTCATAGCTCTTCATCCACTCCAAGTCAAAACTGAGAAGTCTACCTGCAGTTTTAGCATGACTCAAGATCTTCTGATCATGCTAACATTTTCTGGTACGTGACCCCTGGATGTAGCTCAAAGTCTCCTGGTCATGCTGACATTTTCAGATAACATTCTGGAATTTACATCACGTTATTTTACAGTTTTCCAGAGGAAGGGGCAGACAACTGCAACATTTGGAAGGAAGGGAAAGTCACAACATTTAAACATTTAAAATGATGGCTTTAAATTTGTTTTAAGACACAATTGTAACAATCCTCTATTTCCAGAGCCTTCACCTGTAACAGGTATCACTGCCCAGCTGGTGTCTCAGGTAGAAGGGCAGGATAAAGTTGGCTCTGCAAGTGACAGGAAGCTGCCATCCAGATCCACCTGCCACTTGCAAGGAAGAGAAGAGAGGCTGGGGTGATACCTGTAAGGCCAGGAAGCCAACAGGAAGGAGCCAGTCTCTCCTTCCACTCCAACCTCCATCTCTCTCTAGAGCTCCCCATTGGCAGAGCCTAAAAGGGAGACCCTTGCAAGGGAGACATGGGCAACAACCTCAGCTCCAGCACACCAAGCAGAGTGGAGGAGATGGGTGAGGAGCTGAGCGATGATCATTCAGGAACCTTCTCCTCTCCTTCCCCGTGTGAAACTTCCCCTCCCTGATCTCATGAAATGCAGTGCTGGTTTCACCAAGCTTGAAGCATAGAAGCAGGAAGCGATGGTGGTTAGGAAAGACACCAGAGTGTAGGAAGGAAGAGGGCACCCCACGATGGCAGAGCCTGTCCCTCCAGGCCATCCAGGCTGCCATCGTCTCTCTCAGACATGCCCCGCATCTGAGCCACCCACACTTTTGTCCCAAGCCCATTCTGCAGGTGCAGGTCTGTCCCATGCAGCGATATCCCACCTTACCCTGGAGCAGCTCACCAGCAGACCCAGCCTAGGTCACACCCCATCTCACATGCCACCCTATCGGCAGGGGACACAAATCATGGTCCTTGAAACATCCTATCAAAACTCCCCTTAGGGCCCTGGAGGCAGACTGGGGTGTGGGACTCTCTTCCCAGCAGTTTTGCCCAAAGAAATCATCTTTAAAATCACCCCTATCTTTCACATCCTCAGTCTGGGTTTTAGAGACCTGCAATGAGTTCTTGATTGTCCTTCCTAGAAAACTGGCAAGTTTTCTTAGGCGATCTGTCTCACAGTTCACTTTATTATTATCTATTGAGTCTTGGCGCCTCGGTCAAAACTTGCACTTGGACAAGATGGGTCCCCTAAGCCCCACAGCGTTGGTGCCTGGGAGAAGTGTGTAGTGACTGCCCGCTCTGTTGACTGATTTTCTTTTTTTGTTTTTTTTATTTTTAATGTAAAGATGTGGGATACAATTCAGGGTTAGGTATACAATCATTGATCATGCAGGTACCCCTGTTAATGAGGTATGCCCCTCCCCGCCCTAGCAGTTTCCCTCAATTGCCAATTCCACCCCCCCACCAATAGTTCTCCAGTACTGCCAATCACTTCCTTATAGCATTATAATTGTTCGAGGTCCTCTTATGAGTGAGAACATATGGAACTCTGTTCTTTGTTTCAGTGATAAATCACTGAGTTTGATCAACTCCAAATCCATCCAGGTTGCTGCAAAGTCTATATATTTGTCATTCTTTATAGCTGCATAATATTCCATTGTGTATATGTACCACATTTTCTTATCCAGTCCAGCTTTGATGGGCAACATGGTTGGTTCCATGTTTGCTATTGTGAATAGAGCTGCAACAAACGTGTGCAGGTATCTTTTTCATAGAATAATTTGAGTTCCTCCGGGCATATTCCCAATAGGGGAATTGCTGCATCATATGGAAGGTCAATTTCTAGTTCTTTCAGAAATCTCCAGACTGTTTTCCAGAGAGGTTGTACAAGTTTGCATTCCCACTAGCAGTGTAGAAGTGTTCCTTTTTCTCCATATCCTCACCAGCATCTGTTGTTGTTTGTTTTATAAATGATGGTCATTCTTACAAGGGTTAGGTGGTATCTCAGGGTGGTTTTGATTTATATTTCTCTGATGATGACTGAGGCTGAGCACTTTTTCATGTGTCTTTTGGTTGCCCATATATCTCCTTTTGAGAAGTGTCTATTCATGTCTTTTGCCCACTTTTTAAAGGGGCTGTTTGTTTTTTCCCTTTCAGTGCATTTGAGTTCCTTGTAGATCCTAGATGTTAGGCCTTTGTCAGATACACAGTTGACAAATATTTTTTCCCATTCTGTGGGCTGTCACCCTGCTCTCTTTATGGTTTTTTTTTTTTTCTTTGCTTTGCAGAAACTTGTTAATTTGATGAAGTCCCGCTTGTCTATCTTATTTCTTTAGGTATTGGCTTTTAGGGTTCTGGATAGGAATTGGTTGCCAGTTCCAATTTCCATAAGGGTGTCTCCTGCATTTTCTAAGATGTTTATAGTTTGAGATTTTATGTTTAGATCTTTGATCCATTTAGAGTTAATTTTTGTGTGTAGTGATAGGTAGGGGTCCTGTTTCAATCTTCTGCATGTGGTCAGCCAGTTTTCCCAGCATCATTTACTGAATAGGTTTTCCTCTCCCCAATAGTTTTTGTTGGAGGCTTTGTGCTGACTGATTTTCTATTCTGCGTGTGGTCTAGGAGGAGGACGTCCTGCGGTATCACGTGGTCCTGGAGGAGAAACTCCTGAAGAATGACCTGCACAACGGCATGCACCGGGAGACCATGCTGGGCGTCTCCTACCTCCTCGGCTTCTTTCTCCGCAATGACCAGGTGCAATCCCTTCATGTGAAACCCAGGACCGAGGGTCTTAGCTCCTTCACCTTTCATCACTTACTAGTTGGACTAATCTCACTAGCGTTGCCTGAGTCTTATCAACACAAGGCAGTTGTCTGTGTATCTCCATAAACTAACACCCAAATCAGATTGCCAGCCCTGATTCACCTGCCCCGTGACCCAGCCTCAGATAGTCAGTGTCGCCTTACGAAAACAGTGTTTGAATCTCAGCAGTCACAGGCATCCTTCAGCACTGGCACAGCAAACCCAGCCAGCAGACAGCTCTCAAGCACTCCCCTTGATGGAAGGAACCCAACTCCCAAGCCAACTCCCAGGAAGCGCCATCAGCTCCAGGGCCTAAGGAGCTCCGTGACATCCATAGGACCCAGCAGCCGTGTGAATTAACGTTGTTATCATCGTGTGTCCATAGAGATTGCAGTCCTAGGACCACTGACCACAGCACTGGTATTCCAGTATTGATCTCACACAATACCTAAATATTTTGAAGTGTTTACAATTCATAAAAAAGAGTTCATGAGACTAAATATTTAATCTATTTCAAATATAAAATGCTATTCACATATTTGAAATATCAAGTAAAAAATCACCTATGAAAATTCAACAAGAAACACACAATATAAATATAAATTTATAAATAATATAAATATAAGTCTCATAAGAAAAAGCAATAAAAACACATTGTCATTTAAGAGACACTAAACACTATGTTGAAATGAAAGTTTAATCACAGCCAGGCTCAGTGACCCAGCCTGTAATCCCGCGCTTTGGGAGGCTGAGGTGAGTGGGTTGCCTGAGCCCGTGGGTTCGAGACCTGCCTGGGCAACTTGGCGAGACCTCATCTCTACAATAAAATCAAAAAACTCGCTGGGCATGGTAGTGCGCACCTCTAGTTCCAGCTACTTGGAAGGCTGAGGTGGAAGGATCGCCAGAGCCCAGCAGGTCAAGGCTGCGGTGGCCGGGAGTGGCCATTGCACTCCAGTCTGGGCGACAGAGTGAGACTCCAACTCAAAAAAAAAAGAAAGTTTAATCACAGAACTTTGTAATCAATAATAATATTTGATCCTTTTTTAGAAGTATAGTTTTAAAAACAATGTTTTCAGTGGTGTCATAATTGAACTACAAGGACATTTTTATCTGCTTCGGGGAAAAAAGTCTTTCTGACTCTTCATTCCTTGGAGAATAATCTAACTCTAAATATTTGTCTCTGACTCCTACAAATAATTCTACCTGTTGTGTAAAAACTTTGAGAAAACCCTTTTAAATCTATTTTCTTATTATTCCAGAAATGGTAATTATGTTCTTGATAGAGAACTTTTGTTTTTGCTTTTGTTCAGAAATTATTTGATCTAGAGCAAGAATTATTCATACAGTAGAGGCTCTCCTTTTACTGATACTGATCTACTTTCTCTTACAACAGCGGAAGTGTAGAAAAATGCTTTCTAAATGAGATGACATGTTCAAGTCAAAATTTTAATGTAGTCCATTATTCTCTGGACATAGCTCGTGATGGAAATAATTTCGACTTTTTAAATAGCCAAATCAACAGTATTACAACAGCAAATGTTCCTGTATTTTTGATATTTAAAAATAGCTTAGCATCTTGGAATTACCATTTGAGACTAAGTGAGGTTTCCTGCTAGTTTTCTAAATGTGCACGACCTTGGGACACCTCTGTGGAGCTCAGCCATGATTTACCCCAACATCCAAATGGAGATTCATTGACTGCCAGTATGTCATAAGGGACTTAAACACTTAGTGAAAGTTCAGATGTAAGCACTTAGAGGGTCATTTTAATATTTCTCCAGTGGAGAGTGTTGGGTGTTAATATATGAATTATTTTATGAATTTTAAACCCTTATTAGATACTAGCTTGGTATCGTCTTAGTACAATTAAGAGTTTCCCTCTCCCAACCTCACCCTGCTACAACTACACACACACACACACACACACACACACACACACACACAAAATCACCCCATTTTTCAAAGAACTATTTGTTTCCAGGTATATACGTAATATTAATGAACGAACTGATGGCTTCATTTATTTTCATTAATCATTAAAATATCCCTCCCTTAAAATATCAGAGGAGATTGGGTGCATTCAGGGTATTATGGGCATAGAAAAAATATATATATATTTATCAAAACAAATTACAATTCAAAGTTGAATTTGACTTGCAGCATGTAGCTGCTGACTTAGTTCCCGTGTTGGATGCTTATGGATGCACCAAACAAAGACAGATCTAAACACATCATTTTTTTAAATCATTCTTATCTGATTATTTTTGTTCTAGTATAACCATCTTAGCTTCTCTAAAGGCTGTTTGTACATTAACCATGAAGTGGGACCTTGCTGAAAAGACAAGCTGCATTCTCCATGTCTTGGCTGTAGAAGGCATTGCCACCTCCAGGACCACAAGTCTACAGCACAACTGGACATGCCCATAGAGACATCTTGCCACCAAGCACTAGCATAATGATTAGGAGGCAGTGTCTTACAAGCATGCACAAGCCAATTACCTTGAGAGATGGAGAGAAATCTTAGAGATCATCTATAATAACTTCTTCCTTTTACAAAAAGTTCAGTGACTGGCTGGTCATGATAACTTACACCTATAATCCCAGCACTTGGGGAGGCAGAGGCGAGAGGATTACCTGAGTTCAGGGGTTCGAGACCAGCCTGAGCAACGTGAATCAAAAATTCAGCCAGGCATGATGGCACATGCCTGTGGTTCCAGCTACTTGGAAGGCTGAGGCAGAAAGATCGCCTGAGCCCAGCAGATGGAGGCTGCAGTAGCATGAGCATGCCACTACACTCCAGCTTGGGTGGCAGAGTGAAACTCCAACTCAAAAAAAAATTCAGAGTAGGAAAGCAACTGACCCAAGGTCACACAGCTAGATGGTGCCAGATGCAGGACTGTTATTCAGATTCCTTCTTCTAGGCCAGAGCTCTTCCCAACATAATGTGCTACCTTCCAGGTGAATATTGGGATATCTCCTAGGCTGCTGGCATACTTTTAAACTCTAGTTTCTATCTGCCATCCATGTTAAATCACTGTCCTAAAAAGTCACCTTTAAACTCTTGTCCACAGCTCTATGTAAATGAGGCTCCAGTAAACTACACCAATGTCGCCACTGACAAAGGAGTGATCCATGGCTTGGGGAAAGTTCTGGAAATTCAGAAGAATAGATGTGATAATAATGACACTACCATTGTACGAGTAAGTTACATCCAGGGCCAATGATGAAACGAAAGGGTGTTGGTTTATATATTTTATAATTTTGTATGCGAAAGACTTTCCTGTTAGGGTGTCTCAGTTCAGTCCTAAAACCACTGAGTGAGCATCTTGGATGTGCCCAGGAGCATGCCAGCCTGTGGTTCTACAAAGATAAGCAGGACATGACCCCTGCTCTCAAAGGGTCTATTACCTAGTACAGTAGGTTGTACCTTGAGTGCCTGGGAAAGGCTACCAGGGGAGCTGTGTTGACCAGGATTCTGAAGCCATGGCTTTCCTCAAAGGAAAAAGGTGCCCTGTATAGCATAGGCACAGAGAGGGGGCCGTGTTGCCCCCAACGCAGGTATGGGCCAAGCCTGGGCTACTAGAAGAGAAAATGTCAGCATAATATAGGATGTGATAATAGAGGCTTTGGGCTCCTGTCAAAGGGTCAGTGGAGATCTTTCAATAACAGTAATAACCTAGTAACTGGTGGCATTTATTGGACACCTATTGTATGCCAAGCTCCACGTTAAGCATTCTACATGTATTAATCCATAGCCCTCACAACACCCTACAAAGTAGGTTCTATGGACCTTGAACAATTATAATACTATAAGAAAGGGATTGACAATAGTGGGAAACTGTCGGGGAAGGGGGTTGGGATTGGCATGGAGGGAAACTGCTAGGGGAGGGAGGGACATACTTCATCAACAAGGGTACCTGCATAATCAACGTTTATATACCTAACCCTGAATTGTACCCCACATCTTTATAGTAAAAAATAAATAAATAATAATTTTTTTATATATATCCATATTTTTAATTTTGATATTGTGGGGTACAGTTAAGCATTAGGTATACAAATATGCTTCATTCAGGCACCCTTGTTGATAAGGGGTGTTTCCCTGTCCCCAGACAGATATTACTACCGTTAATTCCACCTCCCTTCCCCTCCCCCCCCATAGTTTCCCACTGTCAGTCCTTTTCTTACAGTATTATGATGGATGTTCAAGGTCCACTATATGAGTGAGAACATGTGATCCTGGGATCTTTGTTTCTGTGAGAGGTCACTCAGTATTATAGACTCTAGTTCCATCCAGGTTGCTATGAAATTCATGATTTTGTTCTTTTTTATGACTGTGTAGTATTCCATCATGTATATGTACCACATTTTTTTAATCCAGTTCTCTTTTGATGGACAGCATGGTTGCTTCCAGATTCTTGCTATTGTGAATAAATTTTAAAAAACAAACTAGGTTCTATCACTGTCCTGACCTTACAGATGGGGAAAATGAGCCCCAGAGAAGTTCAGGAGTGCACGCAGGACCTCACACATTAGCAAATGACAGAAAAGGCGTCCCTGTCCAAGCAGTCTGGCCCAGAGATGGAGCTCTGAACAATCACACTCTACTGTCCAGTAGGTGCCAAGTTCAGAACTGGACACACTGACCTCCTCATATTTTAGGAACAGGTCGAGCTCAAGAGTCCTTGTCATTGTTAACGTTTGCTCTGTGTCCTGGAATAGTGCAGACAATCTCTGAGAAGAGTCTCCACACCTCACCCAGCTGTGTCGTATGCTTCCAAGCTGGGCACTGAGTGTGGTCCCGTATTAGTTTTTGAACTGGCCCAATTCACTCAATAGTGGATTTTCAATACATGAAAGTTGTTGCTAAAAGTTTTGGGGTTTGAATGAGATAAGACCACACTTTAATGAAGCATTGGAGTCAAAAGAGTGTTGGGAAGAAAATCGATGCTCAAATGTGCAAGACCCTAAATCGCTGAAGTGTTTGTCTCAAACGACAATGAAGAGGTTGGAACACATGATCTTCCTTGACGTTTGATTCTATGTTCTAAGGCCCTCAACTCCAAGCCCTAGAAAATATTTGCAGCCTCGTGTAGCACTAAACTTAGTAACCTTGAAATGTTCCTTTTGCCTCTGTGTTTTCTCAAGGGAAAGTGTGGGCAGTGCCCCCAGCAGCCGGTCTGCCCGTTAGGAACTAAGCCACTGGTAAGTACTCTGTCTGCTTTGATCAAATCATTGCCGGATCCAAGGAAGTCCTGCTTAGAAAGTAAATCGCAAGCATTTTCACTTTTCCTCATTTCTTCATTTAAAATTATATTTTACCTTGTCGTATGGTATTATCTTTGTAAAATCTTAAATCCATTTTTTGGACCAAGGAAAAATTCAATTAGTAAATAAATAGACATGGGTTCAAATAATCAGCACATAATGCAGGAAGGGATTTTTCACTTTCTACATCTCTTATTTCCCAGTGACCAGCTAAGAACAGCAGCAAGGGGCCGGGCTCGGTGGCTCAGCCTGTAATCCCAGCACTTTGGGAGGCCGAGGCGAGTGGATTGCTGGAGCCCGCGGGTTGGAGACCCACCCAACTTGACAAGACCTCGTCTCTACAATAAATAAAAAATTAGCTGGGCGTGGTAGCGCGCACCTGTAGTTCTGGCTACTTGGAAGGCTGAGGCAGAAGGATCGCCGGAGCCCAGCAGGTCGGTGGCCAGGAGCGTGCCATTGCACTCCAGTCTGGGCAACAGAGTGAGACACCAATTCAAAAAAAAAAGAACAGCAGCAAGGAATCTTATCAGAGAAAGAGAAAGCAGACTCCATATCCCAGACCCTGCCCAGGCTGGATGTAATCCCTCTGCTCGGTTTCCTTTTATAGTTGAAGTTGCAACTAATGTTCTCAAAGAACCAGATGGCAGAAACAGGGGCAGTAGACACGTCTTTGGATTAATTATCAATTCATATTTCTCGTAGCTATTTATTGTAAAAGCTACTTCTGATAACAGCCATTATAAAGAATAAACACTCGTGCACCTTCCACAGCATGATCTTAGTCATTTACGATAACCAATATTGATTTTTCTCATGAGTTTTAATTTGGTCTTGTACATTACAGGTCTTTGTAAGTAACCTTAACCCTTTCTTGGACCAAGAATATAAATCAATCAATAACAGAAACCAAGGTCCACATCAACCAATGTACAGTGCTATGATTTACTCTGCAATTCTTTTGAACTTGAATCAGTCTTCTAGAGAAATGTTACTCTTATGGAATGCTACTTTAAAGTCTAATTATTTGAATTTTGCCACCTGGCATTCTGGCAGCCAACACTGTGTTTTTTTGTCCTCTTGCTTATGAAGTAGTGGCAAAAAAGTCACCATTCCCTTTCCAGAACATTCTAGTCCGAGACACAGCAGTGCATTACCCACTTGCTTTTAGAGGTTGGAAACTTTTGCTAAGTTACAAACTGACACCGTCATTACTATCCACAGGGTAATGAGACAAGGACCTGTATCTATACCATTTATTTCATGGGAAAACGATCCCTGTTCATTGGGTGCCAGCCAAAATGCGTGAAAACTGTCATTGTGAGTATAACAGCTCAGCCCCCTCCTAACTACTGCCGCAGCAACTTGGGAAATTCCTTCATACGTTGTACTTTTCAAACTGCCTTTGCCTGCATTCTTTCTGCCATCTCCTCTTCCCATCTTCATCATCATTGTCGTATTCAAGGTAGTGGCAGCAGTAAAACTCGGAACAGCCCTGTAAGTCAGAAAACAGTAAAAGCTGCAATATTCAACCGCATAATGGAAAAACTGAGGGTCTGAGAGTCTAAGAGGACCCCATGACCTCACAGCAGGGTAGCTCTGCATGCATGCCCATATGCAAAAAAGACCAAGACAGCAGCTACTCGCTAAGGGAAGAGAAGGTGCACCTGGTCATTTAGAAAAGCAGACCCCAAATCTAAGAACCTCCGGTGTTGCTTTGGAACTTGCAGGAAGGTTCCTTGTAACTTCCTGTCCTTCTGCCTTCCCAAAGGATGAGACACAGCCTTGCCTCTACCAGCAAAGGCAGGTGGTCTGACCCTCCAGCTGCAGAGCTTGAGGCTGGAGGAAACTGTGTGTTTTCATGCATACAGGAGCAAGAGCAGGTAAAGCCAGACAGGCATCCGACAGGGCTTTTCTGAGCTATGAAAGGTTGGTCTCTAAGAGGCCAAAGGCCTTCCCCATGGAGGCTCCACCTTCAGTACTAGGCGAAATGACCTCAGTCCCAAGGGGCTTGGTTTGGGTGGAGAAGGCGCTTGAGCCCTGACTCTCCAGCAACACGTGCATCCGTCTTCCCTTCCTGCTGCTGGCCTTCCTCTTCCTTTCTGTCTTCATCCTCTTCATCGCCTTACCCTTTTCCTTTCCCTTTTTCCTGCCTCCTTGGTGGAGGCCTCGGTCCTTCCTAGCACCCCCAGAAACGGCTGCACCTCACCCCTTCCTCCAAGGGTCCTGTCTTTCCCTAATCTTCTTGCAGCATGAGGTCAAAGAAACAGGTGTCTTCGGGTCCCCCCGCAGGGTGGAAAACCCTGGACATGGAGGCGTGTGTCCCATCCCGTTCCTCTGTTTCAGACGAGGGAGTGCTGTGCCGGCTTCTTCGGCCCCCAGTGCCAGCCCTGCCCAGGGGGCACCCAGAACGTGTGCTTTGGCAACGGTGTCTGCTTGGATGGAGTGAATGGCACGGGCGCCTGTGAATGTGGGGGGGGCTTCCAGGGAACGGCCTGCGAGACCTGTACCGAGGGCAAGTACGGCATCCACTGCGACCAAGGTGCGTGCCCTCCTCCCACCAGGCGCCTCCTGGGCTGCCCAAATTCTCAGGAACGGGTGGAAAAGAGTGGCTCGGCTCGCACTCCGTAACGGCCTGCCTCCCAGGCTGGCTGGCTTCCCACCTGCCACCCTCACTGGGCATCGTACTGTGTGTTGACATTAGCACAGAGCAGTGTTTGCAAACATTTCCAAAAACCTGGACTTACCACCCCCAGTTCCCCCCCCGCCCAATTTGTTCACTGGCCTTCCCGGCCCAACCACATTTCCTTATTTACCTGTGCACACTCATGGTCATGGTCAAACTTTGTATTGTGGATGTGCTCGATAGTTTGAAAAACAGATGTGCACACGTTGTCTCATGTAATTCACTCGCCTTATGTATGTGGGTATTGCTGTGCCCGCTTTACAGCCTAGGATGTTGAGGCAAAGAAGGTGAATGATTTCCCCCAAGGTCATACCCGATGAGAGGAACGGAGGCTTGAATGCACGCCTTGCTTGACTCCAAAGCCTTGCTCTGAAATCATGCTGTTCTTCACATGAAGGTCACTCTATTGATTCACCATCACAAGCCACATGCTCTAAGTTGTTTTGGCAAAAGTAGTGATCTGTTTGAGCCAAGTCACCTGCACTCTTGCACCCAGACTTCCTTGTGCCCAAGAACACACACCTGTGAGAGGACTGACTTGAGAGGACAGGTCTCCCAACCCATGATGAGAAAACCAGGCACTGTTCTGCCTCGCACTAAAAACCACACACTTGACTTGGCTATCACTGTTTTCGCCTGGTCTAAGTCAGACAAAATTAATACATACTTGAATCATTGTAATTGGGCCAGAAAATACAAGGTCCAACAGTTAGGTTCGTAGACCATCCTAGAAAAAGTGCTACATACCTCATTACCGAATATCACTACAGTCACCTTCAAAGTACTCCCTTTAGGAAGCTATGCACTGACGTCAGTGCCTAATCCACCCATTTAAAAAGTTCTGGAATTCTTTTTCTGAAATGGCTATCAGAGCTGCTATCGCTATTTGTGAGGTCTGACAATTAAGTTCGCATACTTGCCATTGTACTCTTAACGTTTGCAGCACTGTACAAATAACTGTATTGGAAGACCCTCCCTACTCACCTGATCTGGCCCCCAGTGACTTTTTTCTTTACCTGAAGATAAAGGAAACATTGAAAGGAAGACATTTTGATGACATTCAGTGCATCGAGGGTAATATGATGACAGCTCTGATGGCCATTCCAGAAAAAGAGTTCCAAAATTGCTTTGATGGGTGGACTAAGCACTGGCATTGGTGTATAGTTTCCCAAGGGGAGTACTTCGAAGGTGATGATAGTGATATTCAGCAATGAAGTATATAACACTTTTTCTAGCATGAGTTCACAAACTTAATTGTCAGACTCCGTATATGATTGGAATTATAGTGTTGATTCTTTTTCTATGTTATTTGGAAGAATTGTCTACTGGCCTCTATGCAGAAGTTCCTCACTTGGGACGTGTGGATGGCCCTCACGAGGTTCAGCAAACCTCCAAAGCTGAATGCATGCTTCTGGGGGAGGCACCCACGGCTTTCATCCAGTTCTCCAAGAGGCTCAGGGTGCTGCCGTGAAACAAAGGAATCGGCCTGTCTGTGTTACTGAAGAAAGCAGTGCCACACCCAGCTTAGACAAACCAAGTATCAAATGAATTCTTTTTTTTTTTTTAAGTCTTCTCTTAGAAAACAAAATTGTTCCATCTCAAAGGCTTTGCACAATCCTGGATCCTAAGATAACCTTAGCTAAGGACACCTTCACACTGCTTGAGTCACAGACCCACAGCACTACCCAGGACCAAAACTGTTGCCTACACCGCTTTTTTGAAGCATGTTCACCTGGTAGACCTGTCTCCTGCCCCCTTGTCCTTCCTGTGATCGAGCCCCCATGAAAGACAATGATTCCCTAGAACCAGGTTGGAGAACTAAGTTCAATTACGTGAGCCCAGTAAATGACAGATGGGTTCTTGAACATGGTTAGAGCCTGATGAGTTGTTGGTGTTTTTTTTCCCCTAGCGTGTTCTTGTGCCCACGGGAGATGCAACCAAGGGCCCTCAGGGGACGGCTCCTGCGACTGTGATGTTGGCTGGCGGGGAGTACACTGTGATAGCGGTAAGAGAGCGCCCTCAACATTCATGATCTGTTCTCAGCCTCACTTCTCAGCTGCTACATTTTTTTCTTTCTAAAGTAGAAATGAGTCCTTTATTGCTTCTTCTGGCAATAAACGTAATTCCCTCTTGCAGCAAAAAAAGTAAAATAAAGAAAAGCAGAAACAAGAAAACATGACTCCTATTCCCAAGGCAAGGAAGAGCTACTGCTGACATTCTGTATTGGCCTCGAGCCCTCCTCCAGGGGTAGAAGCGTGTGTAGGGCTCAAACTCTGTGTACTGTCTTGCGACTTTTTCACTTCACAATCTATGTGAATATCTTACCGTTTGAATAAACATAGGCAAATAGCATTGATTTTTCATTTCCACAAAATGTTCCATTATAGGACTGAGCCACACTGTTTAAAACCAAGTTTCTGCTATCATAAACAATGCTACAGGGACCGTATTTATTTAGTTAAGTTCCTAGAGAGGCGATTTCTTTTTTTAAAAACTTTATTTTATTATAGAGATGTGGGGTGCAAATTGGGATTAGGTTTATAAGTAATCTACGTGCAGGTGAAGTTTGGGCCTCTAACTGGTCCTCTCTTTCCCTGGTTTAGGACCAGATATCCTCTGTGTTGTTATGTGCCTCTCACCCTGACAATGTCCTGTGACTGCTGATCTCTCTCTTGTGCTATTGTGATTAATATTCAGATCCCACTTATGAGTGAGAACATGTGGTCTTTGATCCTCTGTTTCCGTGATAAAGCACTGAGTATGATTGTCTCCAACGCCATCCAATTTGCTGCAAAGTGCATGATTTTGTCCTTCTTTGTGGCTGCGTAATACTCCATTGTGTATATGTACCACATTTTTTAGTCCAGTCTACTTTTGATGGGCAGTAGGGTTGGTTCCACGTTTTTGCTATTGTGAATAGTGCAGCAATAGACATGCGTGTGTAGGTGTCTTTTTTGTAGAATGATTTATGTTCCTGCAGATATATTCCCAGAAAGGGGATTGCTGGATCGTATGGAAGGTGAATTTCTAGTTCCTTTAGATATCACCACACTATTTTCCATAGAGGTTGAACTAGTCTGCACTCCCACCAACAGTGTAGAACCATCCCCTTTTCTCCGCTCCCACGCCAGCATCTGTCGTTTCTTTCTTTATTAATGATCGCCATCCTTACTGGAGTTAGAGAGAAGATTTCTGAGTCAGGAGTTGGCCCGGGGGAGGGTCTCACTGCTTATCACCCAGTTGTCCTCCAGAGGTGACAGGGTCTGAGGAGGTCCATCTCTGCTAACCCCATCACATTGTGCTGATGTTTCTTAAGGTGCTTCAGTTGAGCGTGTTGAGAGGGAAGAAAATTCCCAGAAGAAGGAAGCACACGGAACATCACAGAGATGTGGGCAAGCTCTATACATCTGGGAACCAAAAGACTGAAAGAGGAAATGAGGGCAGAGGGTGCAGGTGATGAGAAAGGGATGGAATGCAGGGCCGGAGGTAGACCTTGAAAGACTAAGGAGGGGGTCCAGGCACAGTGGCTCACGCCTGCAATCCCAGCACTTTGGAAGGCCGAGGCGAGAGGACTGTCTGAGCCCAGGGGTTCGAGACCAGCCTGGGCAGCATGGCGAGACTTTGTCTCTACAATACAATCAAAAAATTAGCCGGGTGTGGGGGCCCATGCCTGTAGTTCCAGCTACTTGGTAGGCTGAGGTGGAAGGATCTCCTGAGCCCAGCAGGTCAAGGCTGTGGTAGCCATGATTGTGCCACTGCACTCTGGCCTGGGTGACAGAGTGAAACTCCAACTCAAAAAAAAAAAAAAGGACTAAGGAGGTTGGACTTCGTGTTTTCAGGCCTTCATCCCCCCTTGGGTTAGGCAGAAGGAAAAATCCTGGCTGGATTATTCCTATGGTACATGTGCCTCTCCATAATGCTGGGAGCTGGGCATATGCAACCTTTCCGCATACCCAAAATAGCCCTTTAGGGGTTTTCCAGAGGTCTGGATTTACAGAGGACAGATCTGTCCAGCTCTGACTTATAATGGGGTTACCTTGAAACGGGTTAGCCTGTTCAGAGGATAGTACTGTACAGTTACTTATAGTTTGGGTGACAATAGTACCTTGAGAAGATTTAGTTGTATAAGCAGGCACCCAATACCAAACAGGCCTTGTTGGCCACCAGGTCTCGTGGGTTGAATTCCAGTATAATATTCTTTTGCAAGGAGTTTCTTCTACCCATTGAGTATAAGCAGAGCCCGCTCTGCTTAAACAGTCTTCTCCAATTACTTTTGAGGAGAGGATCCACTTTGGGGGTCTGTTGTCTGTTCTAACAGTTACAGAATGGTTCCATTGGAGGAGCTGGTATGCATCCAGAATAGTTCCCTTCCAAGCCCACTCTTCAGTCATTAGGGCTCCTCCACATACCCAGCAATTGGTGACACCAAGTGTCCGGGCTATATTTTCAGTCAAATTTATAAACAGATTTTGGCCTACTTTCCACGGTTGAGGGAACAGGGTTAGCTTTGACTGTTGGGTGGCTGGAGGAGCTACAAATTGTACGGTTTCTCTAATCAGTTTCTCAGCTTTGGGTATAGGGCCAAGATCCCAACAAACCCAATTTGTGCTTCCAGGGGTGTTACAGGCTATGGCACCAGCTTTAGTGTGCTGGTAGCTTTGTTTTGATGATCCAGTAAAGTATAGGTGGCAATTATGGGTGCACATATGTTTGTCAGTATAACAAACTTCTGGCTGGGATGAATAACAATGGAAAACTTTTACGTCTGGCCAGATAGTTTCTATACATTTACATGCTGGGTATGTGGGGGAAGCAGTAGATACCCAAATTAGGCAGAAATACATAAAAGCACAAGTAAACTCCCTTTCATAAGAAAGAACGGAAATGCTAGTGAAACCCTTTTCTAACATGTTCAATGGGGACAACTCTGTTAATTCTATAGCAAATAAAGTCAGTTTTGCAGCAATTAAAACGACAAACAGTTTAGCATAGATAAAGATTGACAAAGCAAAACAATGGCTTATCAGTGTTTCTGCTGAGTTCTTAAGCTGAATCCTCAATTTTCTGCCGTGCGTCGATCAGCCAGCCTCTGGTGTCGATCAGCCAGCCTCTGGTGTGTGACTGAAGCAGGGCTGAAGTATCCTCAGGCTTTTAGAGAAATTCGTTCTGGAGAAATTTGTTCTGGGTTTTCTGTCGGGCTCAATGACTTTCTGAAGGGTCAGCTTAAGGGGTGCTGCCAAATCTGCGGTGTACTCTCAGTCCTGGAAAGCCAGCTTAATTCTGCTATAATGGATCCAAGGAACTACTTGGGCTACTTTGACTGTGGTCAGGGGAGACAAAAGAACAGTAAATGGCCTCCTCCAGAGGGGCTTTAGAGGTTGTACATCCCACTCTTTTACCCATACCACATCAGCTGGCTTAAAAGAATGGGCATCAGTAGTTAAACTAATTGGCAATCGTTCTATGACTAGACAATGGACGGCATTTAGGACTGAACCTAATGCTTGCATTTGCTGTTTTAGGGTAAGACTTCCTAATTCCTTTAAGCCTCCCTGTATACTCTTAATGAGATGGAGGTGACCACCCATAAAGAATCTCAAAAGGCGAGAAGCCTGTTTAATTCATTCAAAGGCCTGTTTCTGGGTCTTTTCCCATAGCAGGGGCTCCTGTTCACCTCCCTTGGAGGCTTCATAGAGGGATTTCATGATAGAGAAGTTAGGTATTTAAATTCTATAGACTAGTATAGGAACAGGACCCCTTTACGGTCCTTTTCTGTTTTTCTTACAGTTGTTGGTTGGGTCCTTCCTTTCTTCGATTTTTAGCAGCACTTACTCTCCTGGGATGTTTGAGTTTTTCATGGTCCAGGAAGTTTCTAGGGAAGTAAGCTTACAAACCGTGATTAAAATTTGTCCCAAATGGACAACACATTTCCTTATGAGCATTTATGTTTGTGGCTCTATTTCCTTCAAAGGTGTAGGAAAAAGGTCTACCGTTAAACAATTTCAAAGGTTTAACGAATTCCATGTCAGGGACTTGGATCCTGAGCGATGCAATACCAAATACCTATGTTTAGTTTATTCATGTCTCCAAAGAATTTCTAGTGATTATTATGCTAAACCACAAATTGTAAGATTATACTGTCCTAGTTCTACATCTGATGGAGTTTTCCCTGGATATGCCAAGGGGTGGGATAAGTTGCCACTTGGCCTGCAGTTGAAACGTTTGAATGCCTTCTAAAACCTACCTACAGGAAATTTATTTGTGTCTAGCCTGTGCTAGCTACCCTGCCTCAATTATTTTTTCTTTAGAGATTTTTCGGTCCCATAATCATTTGGGGTGCTGAGGGTGAAGGTCTGTCTTTTGTAATGTCTTCAGAGCTGATAATGGGCACAGTCCTGCCTAGCCAGAGATCGAAAAGCTCTCCCTGTCTGACTTGAGGCGTCCAGATTTGTTTCAGCAGTGGCATTGTTTGCAGGCACTGACTGGAATTCTTGCATGACCGTTATGTGGGCATGAAATTACTGGATTCTGGCTCAATAAAAGGAATAAAGTCAGGCACACATTGACAATTTTAGGTAGTGACTGATTACCTTTTGTACAAAAGCTACAAGGCCCGAAGTTATTAGCATAACTTAAATGATAAACTTTAATTTCTGTGGCTTTATAACAAGTATCAGCCTTTGGAGTTTTTTATGTATTTCTGGACTATAATGGTAGCCTGACATATTGTTTTAGACTATAATTTGAACTAGGCACTCAAGTAAATGTTATATAAAATTTGAAGAGAAATCCGAAAATGTTTGGAGACTTGCATCTAGAAAAGACTTTATTATGCCTAGATTGTTTATAGAATTTCTTCTATATATATATATTTTTTTTTTTTTTCATAAACTTTCCTCATACCATTTTTGGCATGCTTATACCATTTTATTTTTGTTCTCGACCACCTTTTTAAAAATTCTCAGATAACTATTTCCTTTATTATAGGACAGAAATTTACCATATAAGATGTCTTTTTTAGATAAAAATATCTTTTCTCTCATATTTCTCTTTTTTTGTTTTCTTACTAAAACCTTATTTGTACACCAACAACACTTTTATATTTTTCCTTTGCTTTTTGCTTTCCTTTTTATTTATTCACAGATAAACTTTACAATCATAATTTGAATTTGCCTTTTAGTAACTGTTAGGGAAAACATTTAACTTTTGGAACACCTTTAATTCCAACTAGAGAGCAGGTTTTAGGAGAAAGAAGTTCAGTATGAGCACAGTATTAATTAAGAAATTAATTTGGACCCCAGCCACATTCACATAGACCCAAGGATTCTCTGGGGTGATGGCAAACAGCGCTGCGCTGGGCCGTGCCCCTCCCCCTTCAATCAACGGCCATTATCACCGAGCTAGGTGTTCCCCCGCCCCTTCGGGAGAGGCCACACCATCTCTTTTAGTGGCCTTTTAGTCCGGATGTTGGATAAGGTTCTGGGGGCTTAGGCCATCAAGAACAACTGTGCTTCAAGTGCCCAGATTGACCACATTCATAGCAGCTGATACCATCCCCCTTAGCAGGTTTATCCTTATCAGGCCTCTTTTGGGTGGCTGGAGCCGTTATCTTTTGTGGCAACTGCCAATAGGTTTGTTTACCTTTCCTCTGGCTGGCGCTCATTTTGGAGTCCTTCTCCTCTTTTTTCTTCTTAATGTTTCAGTTTCTAAGAACTTCAGAAGCTTTCTATAATTCAGAGTTTGGTATTCATAATCCTGAGTCAAGCCTCTGGAGTTTGGTATTTAATATTCTATAGGATATAATCTTGTTTGCAAAGTAGTGAAATAAATTTTTTAAATGGCTCTGCATACAGAACTTTTGACCATTTTTTTAGGTCTGCAAAGTGAATTTAATTGCCAGACAGTTTTACTCCTTTCCAAATCTTATTATCTGCTAACTTGGAGTGAGTTCAGATTTGATTTTAATAATGCACTTATTATTTTTTTAATTTTAAGCCATGTAATTTTAATTTCTTTTAATTATTTAAAATCTGTCCCATTGGGGTGTCTGGGGGTACGGATTATTACACATTTCCTTGGTTACTTTTCTTGAAAACCCAGAATTTGTTTTGAACATTTGCAATTTATTTCTCAAAGGAAAATTCTAAAACAAACAAATAACTAAATAAAGCCTAAAAAGCAATGCCAGGAATCCCTGGAACCCTGATGGCTTCTTCCAGGCTGAGTGTCCTCAGCCCTCCTTGAAGCCCCCCCTTTTTTTTTTGCTCCACAACTTTCCAATGATGTCTACAAAATGGCCTGGTACAAAACCTTTTTAGAGTGAACAGACCACGTAGATGTAAAATGATCTGTTTCTACTTACTCCTAATTAGGAACAGGCAAAATGGTCAGAAATCCTCATGAATTACTAAACAGTAGCCTTAGTTGTAAGACATGGACAATTAAATGAGAGTGATTGGGTCTCACTCTATGCTCCACAGAGTGTGCCTAGTACTAGACCTGTCCCTTAGGTGAAGTACCAAGCTTACAAGGTGACTTAATCAGGTGGGAATGGCCAGTTCCCATGCCTTATTAAGTCCTGCAAAGTATTCAGCATTTAAAGCTTTACCAGTCTGGTAAGGGGTGTGCTAGTCAGGCATAGCCAAAAAAGCAAGCATTGGTGTTATCTAGCATTACGATTTAAAGTAGGGACTTAGCATACATTACATGACTTTAAGAGATTTCCCAACAGTTTTACAGGGGCAAGCAGTTGATTACGATCTTAGGCAAGGCCTAAACCTTTAGAAACAGACTTACTTTCAATTAACCTGGCTTTCAGCATTTGAAAACAAGAACAGTCTATTCAGTCCCTTAGTTGCCAGAGAAAGATTACAGAATTATTTTCTCCAAGGCTAGCATTAACTTGCACTGAGTTAGCAAAAGGCTAAGTCGCATATAAGAGTCATTACGTTTCTTTACAGGTGGATTAGAATGACCTCCTTCAGAATTTATGAAGGAGAACACAGGCTAAGGAAGCGAGGGGGTGTGGTCCCAGGAAAGAATTCAAGATAACCGGTAGCACTTCACATACACAGCAGGCAATTTTCCCACAACCTGAACAACAAAAGGCAGGAATTTTAACAGTGCCAACGGGTTGGGAGAAACGCCACACAAATAAAGGGAGGGAAACATAAAATGACATAAAGAAACATGCATCAATCAAGTTTTTAAAAAACAACATGTCCCATCAAACATAGCATAACTCAACCAGCTTTTCAGCAGATTCAAAATGACAGACACACACAAATAAGAGAATGAGGGGTATGGGAAACATCTGTTTTGTCCTCCTCTAGCCATACTCCTCACAAAGATATCTCAGACACCTCTTAGCAATTGGCAGGGTGGTACACCCCCAATGCAGACTAACTTTATGCGGAGCCCTCCCGCCATCCGTCTCATTCACACACAATCACACAGCACATTCTTCAACCCTCCGCCTTAATCCTAGGTTCATCTTCAGACAGTGTTGCCTTCCACCGCCTTTCAGCCCTTTCCTTCAGGCTGGAGATAACTAGTGGACTCCAGGAGGTGATCAAGCTCCCCTTCTGTCATCCGTTGGCAGGTCTATGCAAAAGGCCCTTATTCCTACCCTTTCCGTTGGATGGTCTTTCTGTCCTTTCTGTCAGGCAGTCATCCTCATGCTAGTCCCTCACCTCTTGGGTCCTTGTTGTGCTTTCATGGTCCAAGCCTCAGTGCTCCAGGAGGAGTCTCCATAAACCTCCTACAGATCCAAAGGTCTGTTGCATGCCAGGCGAGATTGCCCTTGCTGTTGCCCTGCAGGTCATACCCCGATGACAAAAGAGGTGGAACACACCATCTCCGAACTGTCCTTTCCCGGCCCGTGCACCAGAATAATGTAGCGGGAAGACAGAGAGGTTGTGACACTGAGACTGTTATAGGAAGTGGCAACTTTATTACGCCGGCAGACTCGGCGGGCTACTGCTCCCAGGCCGAGCCCCCCGGAACGGGAGAAGGGGGGTATTATACCTTGGTTTAGGTAAGGGAGGGGGATCGTGTTGAGCGATTACATATTTTCTTTGGAATGTACAAGGTTGTACTCAGAAAAATCAGATCGTTCAAAGAACAAAAGGGCTCCAGGAAATGCAGGATGAGTAGGGGCTGTAAACTGATAAGGAGAGCAGGTTGTGAGTTAGGTACTCTTTTGCATTTCCATGAGAGCCGTCAGTCTTTGGCCATTTGACTTTTTCAGACAAAACCAGCCTGGCGGGTCTTTAAAGCTTGCTGCTTGACTTTCAAAAGGAAATACCTTTAACTGCTACCAGCCCCCTTTCTGCCACACCAAGTACTAGAAGAAAATTCTCAAGATAGATTTGGTAAAAGAGGGCTGACATGGCAACTGGTTCTCTTTTTCAGTGATCACCAAAGACGCCTGCAATGGGGCATGCCACAGCAGTGCCAAGTAAGTACCCCCAGGCCTTCTCTGGGGACAGCACAAAGGGATTTTTTCCCCCCAATAGTTTCTACCCCAGGCCCATCCTCAGGGGTGTGGTTTCTGTTTCTGAGGGTTTGTGATAAAATTTAAACACGAAACTGAAATTCTCTCTCAAAAGGCCACCGCCCACTTGTCAGATCCAGCCTTTCTAACAAGCTGTCATCTGACTGACCTGGCACGTTGACCAGGATGCCCATTTTTAGTCCAATCCAAGTCACTAGGACTCTGTCACAGAGACTGAGGAAACCCAGTGGGCCTCAGTTTCCATAAACCTTACTCCCGACCCACAGCCAAGCTTAAGTTGACTTCATACTCCTAACATTCATGGAGACTTCATGAATTAATTAAGCATCCAGTAGCTGGAGTAGATCTGAATTCAGTCAACCTCTGTCATTCTCACTGAATGCATGACCTTGAGTCACTTATTTCACCCTTCTAAGCCTCAGTTTTTTCATCCGTAAACAGGAATAATAATAATACCCACTTGCTGACTGAGTGCAGTGGCTCATTCCTGTAACCCCAGCACTTTAAGAGGCCAAGGAGGAAGGATCCCTTGAGGCCAAGAGTTCAAGACCAGCATGGGCAGCATAGCCCGACCCCATCTCTACAAAAACAAAAAAAAATTAACCAGGCATGGTGATGCACGCCTGTAGTCTCAGCTACTCAAGAGGCTGTGGCAGGAAGATTGCTTGAGCCCAGAAGTTTGAGACCGCAGTGAGCTATAATCACGCCACTGCACTCCAGCCTGAGCAACAGAGTGACACCCTGTCTCAAATAATAAGAAGAATACACACATGCTAGGGCAATTGGATGGTGTGTAGCTGACATGAAGTAAAGCATGAAGCACAGCTCCTTACACATCGGAGGCTCTGTAATGACCGTCAGCTGCCCTCCTTATTCCCGGGCTGACACCTACCTATGCACATCTGTAGGTTGCCTGGTAAGTGATGCAGTTTTAGCCACCTGTGGGGTTCATGCCAGGAGCCGACTCCCTTCCCAAGCCCTAGGCAGGACCTCCAAGTGTCTTAGGAGCCAGGAGACTGGGGATGAGGAGTGCTGTGTATCATGTGGAATGCTTTCTACGAACACCATATCCCCCTCCTTGCTGCAGCTGTCTTCTCGGTCCGGATGGCACTGCCTCGTGCAAGTGTGCAGCAGGATTCCAAGGCAACGGGACGGTCTGCACAGGCAAGTGAGGGGGTTTGCTGGGATCAGCCAGGCTGGCGCAGCTGTCGAGGTCCACACTCCTGCAGTCTGCCTGGGCCTCACCGGCTGGCGCGGGACACTGGGGGCGAATTGCATGTCACGGGGCAGCAGACTGCACCTGGGCACAGGGAGCCAACTGTTCGTGGGTGGGGCGTGCTGGTGTTGGAACAGGTGGGGCAATTGCACCTGCTCTCAAGGTATACTCGGTATGGTGCTCACAGCCTTGACCGCAACTGGGATCACCTGGGCAGATTTTAAAACCACTGATTTGTGCTGGGAACCCATTATCACAAAGAGGTGATAAATATTTGAGGTGATAGATATGCTAATTTTCTACTCTGATCACAATATGTATTGCAACATCACTAGGTACTCCAGAAATATGTACTATTATTATGTGTCAATTTTAAAAAATTTTAATGCTTCTATTTGGTTTTTTATTATCTTATTGTAGAGATGTGAGGTACAAGACAGGATTAGTTACACAAGTAGGCTGCGTGCAGGTTTGAGCCTCCAACTGGTCCTCCCTCCCCCTGGTTTAGGACTAGATACCCTTTGTGTTGTTACATACCTTCCCCCCATCCCCACCACCTGGCGGTGTCCAGGGACTGCTTGTCCCTCTTTTGTGCTGATGTGATCAATGTTCAGGGTCCATTTATGAGTGAAAAAGTGGTGTTCAGTTCTTTGTTTCTGTGATAGATCACTAAGCATGATGGTCTCCAACTCCATCCAATTTTCAGCAAAGTCCATGATTTTGTTCTTCTTTATGGCTATGTAATGATCCATCGTGTATATGTACCACTTTTTTTTCATTCAGTTCACTTTTAATGGACAGTAGGCTTGGCTCCATGTTTTTGCTATTGTGAATAGTGTGGCAATAAACATGTGTGTGCAGGTGTCTTTTTGTAGAATGATTTATATTCTTCCGGGAATATTCCCAGGAGATGGATTGCTGGATTCAATTTAAAAATTTTTTTTTAAAAAACACTGATTCAATTGGCCTAGAATGTGACTGGAGCATGAAGACTTTTTTGAAAAACACTGATTTGATTGGCCTAGGGTGTGACTGGGGTGTGAAGACTAAGACGTGGACAGAAAAGGGCTTGAACCCTGGTTCTTCCTCCTACTGCCCACTTGGCCTTGGTTGGGTCTTTTAACTACTCCAAGACCATTAGCTCATTTGTAAAGTAAATTTAAAACTAGCTCCCTTGCAGAGTGGTTCTGAGGTTAAATGGCCTCTCTGCATACAAAGGCAGAGTGATGCAGCTGCTAAAAACTCAGCCTCCTCACTAAACGACCTGGCTTTGAATATAAGCTCTTATCATTTGTGTCACCTCAGGGAAGTGGCTTCATGACTCTTTGCACCATTTTTTGATCTGCAAGTTGGGCTAGTAAGAGAACCTCCCTCACTGGGCTGCTGGATGCTAGCCAGTGAAGTGATTAGAACAGGCCCAGCACATGGCACTCGAAATGTGAGTTCATGTTATAGTGGCTGGCACTAGGAAAATGGAAAATCTTAGAGTCATTTTCCTCCTGAACCCCATGACCTGGCAGGCCTTGGTTCAACCCATGGCAGAGCTGGATGATGATCACACCAACCTGCTTTCTAGAGCATCTTTTTTTTTTTTATTATTATAAAGATGTGGGGTACATTTCAGGGTTAGGTATATAAACATTGATCATGCAGCTACCCCTGTGGATGAGGTATGTCCCTCCCTCCCCTAACAGTTTCCCTCAGCTGCCAATTCCACCCCTTCTCCCCGACAGTTTCCCACTACTGCCAAACACTTTCTTATAGTATTATAATTGTTCAAGGTCTGTTTATGAGTGAGAGTATATGGATAAATCACTGTTTCTGTGATAAATCACTGAGTGTGATCGACTCCACATCCATCCAAGTTGCTGCAAATTTCATATATTTGTCCTTCTCTATGGCTGCATAATATTCCCTCATGTATATGTACCACATTTTTTTAAGCCAGTCCAGCTTAGATGGGCAACACAGTTGGTTCCATGTTTTTGCTATTGTGAATAGAGCTGCAACAAACATACGTGTGCAGGTATCTTTTTTGTAGAGCATCTTACCCTGGAATTCTCCCAGAGTAAGTACCCTGACCCTGCGCCCAGATGTTTCCTGCAGTAGCATTTGCATGATATGCTAGGAAAGACAGCTGGAGTGGGCAGACACTGGGCTGCTCCTCCCACCATCTGTTTTGGGGAATCAGCCCTGTTTAAGCCAATGCCTGCCGAGTCGTTCTGAAGTATCTTCCACTTTTCAATGACCCGAGTGAAAACGCATCAATGGCTTTGTCTCCTCTCCTCCTCTTCTGCTTTGTCGTCTCTCCCTTCTGCAGCCATCAATGCCTGTGAGATCAGCAACGGAGGCTGCTCTGCCAAGGCCGACTGCAAGAGAACCACCCCAGGACGCCGGGTGTGTGCGTGCAAAGCAGGCTACACAGGCGATGGCATCGTGTGCCTGGGTAGGCAGCGCCCCTCCCTGTTAGGGTACGGACAGGGTGAGGGTGGATGGATGGAGAAAGAGAGAGGCGCAGGGTGGTGCAGCACCGCCAGAGCTGGCGTGCCGGAGGTGCCACGCTGGGAACCCAGAGATCCGAGTAAATGCAAAGAATTGCAACACACAGAGGTGAGAGAAGAAAAGATTTATTTAAGAAAAGTTCACCCCCCACCGACAGGAAGTGGGCCTACACGCTAGGTGAGTGTGGCGTCGCCCCCCAGAGTCCTGGCTTAAATCCTTCTCTTGGAGATGTTTCACGTGACTGCTGTGACTTCCTTATCAACCACCTGTGGATGTCTTGGAGATCCTGTGACACAGAGACCCATTAATGTCCGCTCACATTCTCATAGCCCCTAGAGAAGGGCGTGACAAGGATTCTAATGCTCCTGCACCTTCCCAAACGACATTCCTTAGAGCTAGTGGAGGGTGCACCTCCCCTTATCTCCTAGGCATTCCCAGTGGGGAGCTTCGGGGATCCTTGGCTTCCCTGTAGATAGGACCCAATTTACTGGAAGATAGAATCCCCACCTGCTCCCCCTCTGAGCGGTTATAACTTTTGTAATTACAAGTTTCATGACTTTTACAGTCCTTGCCCAATGCATGATGTCTTAGCCTTGTAAATTCCCTTTACTCTAGGCAAGCTTGACAGCCACTATGAGATACCTCTGATAACTGGAAGTCTGTTTCTGAAAAGACAAAGTCGGTAAAGTTAATTTTACCTAAAGTGTGCATTTCTCCAAAAATATAGCTTCTACTTTCTCATCATTGTGTCAGGGTTTAAGAACAAGATGAAAAATGACTTCCCACTCTCGGTCTGTCCTTTCACTCCCCCCGTTCACCGGGAAGCAGTGTGGATCCGAGCCCTGTGGAATGCCTGCTCATAAGTTAGGGTGTACAGCTGGGTCATGACTCCATTTGCCAGGGCAGGAAAGTGCGAGGGTGGGGAAGTGTGACCATGGGGGGGTAAAGGCATGTAACATCCAGAGACACTTTGGGAGGGGAAAAGGAGAGCAACTTCTCCCAGTTGAACATGATGGCGGTGACTGCATTTGTAAGCTTGTATTAGTTCCTTCTTATACAAGTAGCACATTCTCTCTGTAGAAAAAGAAGGCCACCATGCTGGAGGGAAAGGTCATGCTAGAGGTAGAAAGTTCTAACTCTCTCCCTATCGTCATAGTCCCCCACTGTGCTGTATAGACGTGTGTTTTCTAACAAAAATGGTATCCCCTGAGACAGTGTTTACTTCATGTGACAGAATAACTCTGAAAATAAGCAGACCTCTACACCATTGTTTTTGTGGTCACAGACTGTTCTACTATAAGGGGGTGCCATAGTAAGTTGTCTCAATTTAACCTTTTTAGTTTGAAAAAAACTTCGCACAAGAACTGCAAAATGGTACGCAAAAGGCCCACGTGTTCTTGACCCACATTCACTTACTAACCTTTTGCCTGTTTGTTCCATCATTTGCTCTCTTTGTAAACATACTTTTTTCCCTAAACCATTTACGAGTAAGCTACAAGGCAGGGGGTGACCCAAGAAAACCCAGAACTTGTTTATAAAAATTTGTGTATTTATTCTTACTTGTTTAAACATCAGTAACTTTCAAAGTGCTCTCCATTGAATGCAATACCAAGTGCTCTCCATTTCATGGTTTCTCCACTGCTCAGAACAGTTTTTTAATTCATCTGTTTTGATGCCTTTTGGTGCTTCTGTCATTTTTTGTTTCACCTCTTCCACATCAGCAAAACATTTTCCTTTGAGGACTTTTTTCAACCAGGGAAACAAACAAAAAAAAAAGAATGGGTGAATAGAACACAGGGATCATGCTGGTTTTGGTCAAAAACTGCTGGACACTCAGCACTGTGTGGGCAGGTGCATTGTCACAGTGGAAGAACTAGTTACCTGTTTGCCACGACTTGGGATGTTTCTTTCACAAATTGCTACACAACCTTCTCAAAACTTCCAGATAAAAACTTGTTTGACCTTTTGATCCAAAGGAATCAATTCTGAGTGTACTACAAGGAGCCCACCCTCCAAAAAAACAAAAAGATAATTCCAGTTTTTTTGTATCGCTTTTTTGTATATCTCTTGTATGTATATATATGTATGTATTATATTCCCTTTATCCTGAATACTTGAGTATGTTCCCTAAGGATCAGGATAGCCTCTTACATAACCACAACACATTTATCAACTCTAGTAAATTGATTATGAATGTAATGTTTTTGTCTAATTACCATTTGTATTCTAACTTTGTCAGTTGTCCCAATAATATCCTTCTTGACATTTGTTCCATCAGAGCAGGATCAGGCGTTGCACATAGTTGTACATTTCAGTGTACTACAACCGCACCCAGCTAATTTTTGATTTATTGTAGAGACGAGGTGTTGCCAAGTTGTCCGGGCTGGTCTCGAACCCGTGGGCTCAGGCAATCCACTTGCTTCAGCCTCCCAAAATGCTGGGATTACAGGCTGAGCCACCGAGCCCGGCCGACTCTATTGTTTTAAATACTTTGCTGCAAATGCTCATGTTCATCCCATAGTCAGATTTAAGCCCATAGACTGTGCCTATGCTTGCATTGTTCCAGCTTGATTTTGAGAAACTGCATCTGATACCCTCTCTGTTGGGTTATTTCTATCCCAGAATTGTCAGAAAACCAAACCACGCATTGATACCTGTTTCCCTCAGCCAGTCCCCTCAGCCACTCTGAGCCCTCCCTTTGGGAGCCAGGCTTGATTCCCATGCCAGGTGTTGGCTTTTTGTTTTAAAGAAATCAACCCATGTCTGGAGAACAACGGCGGCTGTGACAAGAACGCAGAGTGCACGCAGACGGGACCCAACCAGGTGAGCTACCTCCCAGAGGCCCTTAGCTTTTCTAGAAGGAAATTTCCAGGTCTTTAGACACAGGCCCAAGGGAAGGCGGCTGAGATCAAACCTCTGAGGAGCTGCAGTGGAAGATAAATACTTTAGGGGAAATTGTGAAAGAAGAGGCTGCTCTTCAGGGATGAGGAGAAGTGGGAGGAACGAGGGGACTAGGAGAAGGGGCGTTCCTAGAATGGGCAGAAGTGGCCAGCCGCAGATGCCATGTGCTTCCAGAAGTGCCTGGAGAAATGCTCCCCTTTCTGTGAGCTTTCTGGTGCTCAGAATCCCACCCTTGCTCTTTGGCTCGAGGCTCTGAAATGCGTGTGCCACAGCAGAAGGTGACACTGCAGGCTCCACCAGTCACGTGCTCCCCCACAGAGTAGCTCCATGCCTCTCTGGAGAGCAGATGTGGGGTGTGCGGGGAAGATGTGAGGACACTAGCCTTAGAGGGTGAGGTCATGGGTGGAAGGACATGCGTGGAAACCAGAGGCTCGCAGACCCACGTTCCACCTCCCTAAGTCTCTGTCTCATGACCAACAAGCAAAACAGTCAGGCAGGAAATCACACACATGCAAAACTGAATGACAGAGTGAAGTCTCCAGTGAATGTTCTATTGCCCTCAGCGCCAGGTCTCTTCTCTCAATGGGTACAGCAAGCACGAACCCCAAGAGCCCAAAAATAAGAAAAAAAAATTTGTCTTGAGAGAAGTGAGTGTGTGTGTGTGTGTGTGTGTGTGTGTGTGTGTGTGTGTGTGTGTGTGTGTGTTTAGACATTTAGTCATAGAGAAACCCCACAATTAGTCTTAGGGGAACCCAAACAGTCAACACAGGGCTTTCTTAGACATGTTTCGGGGTTCAGTGGAGTTTTCATTCAAACTACACATGAGGTGGGGGAAATCTACAAGTGTTTTGGGGAATCTGAAAGTGCTCCTCCAGGCCTGGGGGCAGTGAGGGAGAATATGGGATTGGACTCTGAGGACAAGACCTTAGCTGCAGAGAGATAGCGGGTGGACACCTCAGGAAATGTCTGGGCCATGGTTGGTCCCGCTGTGAAGGAAGAGGAAGAGGAGCATTGAAAAGCCACCCACATGGCCAAGCTGGCACCACGGATGAGTTCAAGCTGCAACAAGTAGACATCAGCCGTGGGCCTCTGCTGCCATGCAGAGGACTCTTGTGTGGATTTGGAAAGCTGCCCTTGGGAGGGCACAAGGGAAGTAGCTGCCCCTTCTTTGGGGCACACGGCCGTGAACAGATCACATGCTGAGCTTCAGGCCCATAGCCCATGGGACCTCCTGCAGACAGTGTCCCCTCCCTCAACTTGAAGCCTCCACCTGGCTTCCATGGCCAACCCATGGCTTTGGCTGACTCTGAGAAGAGGCTGCAAAGGCCTCTTAGCATCTCCCAGCACTCAGCACAGGTAGAGACGAGCAAGAAATGTGCAGAAGGGGGGTGGGATACAGTTTAGCCTTCTTCCAACTGGCCTTCACCAACCCAAGAGAAGAGAGATGAGTACCAGAAAGCAAGGGACCAAAATAAGGTAAGAAAGGGTTTTTTTTAAGTTATCTTGGCAGCAAAGGTCAGATGTGCATGTCACCCCAGCCCTCGAGTGAAATGGCCAGCTGTGCTAAAGTATTAAGGTAAGGGTTGTCGTTATAGAATAGATATTGCCAGCATCAGAGATAGACCCTCCCAACTGCCATGGCTGTGAGGGAATTCAAGTCCAAGGGCAGCATGTGGCCAGGATGGAGCCTGCCTGGGATGACCCATGCCCTCTGCTTCTGCACAGGCCGTCTGTAACTGTCTGCCGACGCACACTGGAGATGGGAAGTTCTGCACGTTCATCAACGTCTGCTTGACCGTGAGTACCTGTCGAGGGCCGATGTGATGGAAGTTTTGGAGTCTGTGGGGTCTCCTCCCCGCTCTATGGGGTGCAGAGTGAAGGTGACCTCCCTGTGAAGGCCTCAGAGCCGCATCTGGGCCACGAGGTTCATTTCCCCTTCACCCTCCATTGCTGTCCCCAGCCACCCTTTGGCTGCAGGATCCTGAGGGGATGCGGGTATACATCGGGGCCAGGAGTCACCTGAATGCAGCTTGGACAAATGCCCTGAGGTCAGCTGGTTCACCCATTTCCCAAAGGCAGGCCGTGGCACCCACAGCAGGTTCTTGCTGAGTGACCCTTGTGAGTCAACTAATGGGCTTGAGTATCCAGTTCAATACCCGGTTCCCTAACCAGCACAAATGGGTAACTGAGTACACATGTCCTTTACCTGGTGTTTGTTTTCTATGGATCGAATGGAGAGGTAGGGAAGGTCAGTTAAAAACATCGCAGAAGGTAAAACACTACATTCTAGAAAAGGCCAACCTGCATAGTCAGTGAAAAGACCAGCGCTTGTGAGGAGGAAGACATGAATAGAGCTCAGAGGATTTTCAGGGCAGTGAAATTACTCTGTGCCATATTGTAATGGTGGATACCTGTCATGATACATGTGTCTAAACCCAGAGAATGCACAGCACCCCCAGTGAACTCCTAATGCAGAATATGGACTTTAAAATCAGTATCGGTTTGTTAATTGTGTCAAATATACTACACCAATGCAAGGTGTTAATAATAGGGGAAACTGAGGAAAGGGGTAGATAGGAATCTCTGAATTTTACTTTCAATTTTTCTGTAACCCTAAAGCGGCTCTAAAAACTGAAGTCTATTAATTTAGAAGATAAGCCACACACACACACACATACACACACACACACACACACACACACACACACACACACACACACACACACACTAGACACCAGCTTTAGAAATCGGTTCTCAATTCTCCCACTTTCTTTGCAAAGCCTGTGTATATGTGTGTGCACGTGTGTGTGAGCACGTGTGTATATGCGTGCGTTCTTGTGTCGTTTCTGCTAGTCTAGGTTTCTCTGCAGCTTGAGCTATCTGTGATGACATAAGAGTGATGTGCCCAAGACAGCATGTGACTTGTTTGGACAGGTCATTATTTAGCTCAGATACTGTACATATTTTTGCCTCGTCAGCGGAAATCTGAATAAAACCTCAGGCCCAGCAACATGAATTCCTGACCTCTATATAAACACCATAAACACATCCGACACATTTCCTCAGCCCAGCCACAGCATATGGACAAAGTCTACCCATCTGTTCATCTTCCCATCATTCCAATTCTTATCAAAATCCCTCCCGTCCTTTCCACCAGGCATGTGTTTCACCTCTGAGAAAAGGTTCAAGAAACCTCCTCTGGGAGGCCTTCCTAAGTTAACCCACAGCAACTTTCCACTCCTTGCTCTTCTGGACTTTGGAAGTCGGAATCCACATGAGAGCCCTGTGCGTCAACAACATGGTGTGGAATTCCAGAAGTTGGTTCTGTCTTAATAGAGGCCGAATGGCCAGACCAAGGACGATGTCTCTAACTCACCACACAGCCACCCTCCCCAACGCCTCCACCCCCTTTCTACATGTCAGCTCTACCTTCAAAAGAGGAACCAATTCTAGAACCTGCATTGAGCAGGCGCTAGGGTGGAGGAGGGGGGAAGGCACTTCTTCCCCCACTCCATGTTCATGCATAAATCATTAATTCTTCCAGTTCTCCTTCTCTCTAAAGAGGAGTCAGGGAGGGGAAGGAGGCTGCCATCTTCCTTTCAAGGATTGTCACATAACAAGAGGTTGTTTCTGTTCTGTGGAAGCCCAAGCAGTAGGACTGGTGGATGGACATTGGAAAATAACAGATTTCTCTCAACTCAAGGTAGACCATGAGGTACCAGAGGTAGAGAGGCAGTCTGGGAGGTAATGGGCTTACCATAACTCATGGTATTTAACCATACCGTAGAAATAAAGCAACAGAGGGGTTATCAACCTGGACAACATTTAGGTCCCTCCAGGCCCTGACTTCTGTGACTGTAGCACTCTGGCTTGCTTCCCAGGCCCTCAGTTTCTTTAAAAGATGGTGGATGTTCCTGAGATCCATTCAGCATGAAGGGTCTGAGCTTTCACTTTTCGCCTCCAGTCTGTTGACGACTTCTTGTCACTGTTCTCACATGGGTTGTGTGAGCAGGCTTCCAACTTTGCTATCGCCCTGTACCGCAGCCCAACACCAGGCTACACAGGCCCAGAAGGAGCCTGCTCCATCATTAATCACTGAGTCTCACCTGAGTTTGTCCTCAATTCCAAATTGTCTTAGCTCATTCTGTACTGCTACAACAACAGCACACAGTGTTACAGAATACCCGAGACTGCGTAACTTAGCATGAACAGAAGTTTATTTCTCACAGTTCTAGACTCTGGGAAGTCCAAGATCGAGGTGCCACAGTTCTAGATGCTGAGAAATCCAGGATCAAGGTGCCACAGTTCTAGATGCAGGAAAGGCCAGAATTGAGGTGCCACAGTTCTAGAGGCTGGAAAGTCCAGAATTGAGGTGCCACAGTTCTAGATGCTGGGAAGTCCAGGACCAAGGTGCTACAGCTCTAGATGAGGGAAGTCCAAGATCAAGGTGCCACAATTCTAGATGTGGGGAAGTCCAGAATTGAGGTGCCACAGTTTTATATGCTGGGAAGACCAGGACCAAGGTGTCCCAGTTCTAGATGAGGGAAGTCCAAGACCAAGGTGCCCACAGTTCTAGATGTGTGAAGTCTAAGATCAAGGTGCCGCAGTTCTAGATGCAGGGAAGTCCAGAACTGAGGTGCCACTGTTCTAGATGCTGGGAAGTCCAGGACCAAGGTGCTACAGTTCTAGATGAGGGAAGTCCAAGATCAAGGTGCCACAGTTTTAGATGTGTGAAGTCTAAGATCAAGGTGCCATGGCTCTAGATGCGGGGAAGTCCAGAATTGAGGTGCCACAGTTTCAGATGCTGGGAAGTCCAGGACCAAGGGGCCACAGTTCTAGATGAAGGAAGTCCAAGATCAAGGTGCCACAGTTCTAGATACATGAAGTCTAAGATCAAGGTACCACAGTTCTAGATGAGGAAAGTCCAAGATCAAGGTGCCACAGTTCTAGATACATGAAGTTTAAGATCAAGGTGCCAAAGTTCTAGATGTGAGAAGTTTAGGATCAAGGTGCCACAGTTCCAGACACTGGGAGATCCAAGATCAGAGTGCCACAGTTCTAGATGCTGGGAAGTTCAAGATCAAGGTGCCACAGTCCTAGATGCTGGGAGGTCCAATATCAAGGTGCCACAATTATAGATGCGGGGAAGTCCAGAATTGAGGTGCCACAGTTCTAGATGCTGGGAAGTCCAGGTCCAAGGTGCCATAGTTCTAGATGGGGGAAGTCCAAGATCAAGGTGCCACAGTTCTAGATGTGTGAAGTCTAAGATCAAGGTACCACAGTTCTAGATGCAGGGAAGTCCACAATTGAGGTGCCACAGTTCTTGATGCTGGGAAGTCCAGGACCAAGGTGCCACAGTTCTAGATGAGGGAAGTCCAAGATCAAGGCGCCACAGTTCTAGATACGTGAAGTCTAAGATCAAGATGCCACAGTTCTAGATGTGAGGAAGTCCAAGATCAAGGTGTCACAATTCTAGATGCAGGGAAGTCCAGAATTGAAGTGCCACAGTTCTAGATGCTAGGAAGTCCAGGACCAAGGTACCACAGTTCTAGATGAGGAAAGTCCAAGATCAAGGCGCCACAGTTCTAGATATGTGAAGTCTAAGATCAAGGTGCCACGTTCTAGATGTGAAGAAGTCCAGGATCAAGATGCCACAGTTCTAGACACTGGGAAATCCAAGATCAGAGTGCTACAATTCTAGATGCTGAGAGGTCCAAGGTCAAGTTGCCACAGCTCTAGTCGCTGGGAAGTCCAAGATTAAGGACCTTCTTTCTGTGTCATTGCATGGCAGAAGTCCTCACATGGTGGAAGGGCAGAGAGAAAGGGGAGCGGACAACATGTCCTTCTATTAGTAACCACTTCCTCAGCAACAGCATTTATCCCTCCATGAGGGCTCTGCTCTCATGGCCTAATCACCTCTTAAAAGTCCCACCTTTTAATACTGTTACTGGTACAATGGCAATTTAATTTCAACGTGAGTTTGAGAGGGGATAAACTTTCAAGTCACTGCACAAATCCTCACAGCTGCTTTTGCCTCAAGAGTGTGGTCCATTGACCTGGCAACAGCGTCCACTTGAATGTGACTTCAGTCTCCCCTTCCCCTTCCTCTCACTGGTTGCTGGAAGGATTCCCCAAGGTTCGGAGTTGAGCCTGGGCTGGAATCCTGGTCTTGCTACCTGCTGACTGTGAGACTTTGCTAAACATCCTGACCCTTCTGTGTCTCAGTTTCCTCCACTGTATATGTGAATTTATTCTCTTTTTTTGAGTCGGAGTCTCACTCCGTCGCCAGACTGGAATGCAGTGGCCGCTCCCAGCCACCGCAGCCTCGACCCGCTGGGCT